GTTTCTTATACGAATCACTAAAGCTTTTAACATCGGGCAGATTTCGTAGATCTGTTGGAACATTATTCCAACATTTTGCCCCCAAGTATTGAAAGTTTTTATGTGATGTTGATCTATTGACATAAAGGTTGCAGCTTTCGCCGCTCCTACTACCTCCTGATATGTAACTAAATTTGTTCATAAAGTTTGTAGGACAATTGTCATGGATGATTCTAAACATATAATTTGACAGATGGAGTTGTCGTCTAAGATGGAGTGGTAACCATTTCATGTCTCTATAAACATTAAGGCTGCTCTCTGTTTTTGGAACGTTGAGAGCTATTTTGGCTACCTTTTTGTACAGAGTGTCAAGTTCAGCAAGTTTTGTCTTGCCAGCTCTACAATAGATCGTGTCTAAATAATCGAATTGTGGCAACATGAGTGCATTGGCAAACATTTTCCTATATTTAATGGGTAGCAGTGCTTTACTTCTATACATGGCACCAATTCTCTTCATGACCTTCCTAATAATATAATCTACATGGCTTTTGAAGTTTAATTTACTATCTAGAATGAGGCCAAGATATTTTGTCTCTTTGCACTCCTTGATTGTGAAAGTTACCTCATTACGATCAATGGTTATTTCATCATGTTGGTCAACAGAATCAAACAATAGGAATTCAGTCTTCTTTTCATTGAGTGATAATTTATTAACACTGAGCCATTTAAAGATTGTCATAAGTTCTATTTTCATGTTTATAAATGTGCTTCTGCAGGTTTGATCAAAGAATAGTGCACCATCATCTGCAAATAGAAAGGGCTTAGATAGGTTACAGGCATAAATGATGTCATTTATGAAGATACTAAATAATATAGGCCCAATGATGCTTCCTTGTGGTACACCACTCAGAACTTCTAAAAATGAGCTTAGATTGCCATTGATCCTAGTGCATTGATATCTACAAGATAAGAAGTTCTTAAACCAGGTTAAAGCAATGCCACCAATTCCATAATATGCCAATTTTTGAAGCAATATTTCATGATTCACTGTGTCAAAGGCCTTCTTAAGATCAAGAAAGATGATTCCTGGTTTATAAGACTTAGATTTACTCATATATATTTCGTCCATCAGATCGTACATCAGATAAGTTGTGGAGTGATTTTTCCGAAAGCCATATTGATGCCGGATGAAAAGTTTGTTCTCTTCCATGTAATCAGTGAGTTGCTTGCCGACAAAGTATTCTATAAGTTTTCCTACAAGTGGAAGGATGGATATTGGCCTGTAATTATTAGGATCATCTTTCATTCCTGCCTTATGGATGGGAGTTACTCTAGCTTTTTTACAAAGGGTTGGTACAACACCTGTATTAAGGCTCAGATTGACAATGTGGGTCAGTGGCTCAACTATGTGTGGTACAGCTTGCTTAAGTAAAAATAGAGGCACATTGTCATATGAGGCCTTGTCATTCTTGAGCGTTTCGACATACATTAGGATATCAGTTTCATTTATTTCTTGGAATCTATCAAATGAGATATTAGAAGTTCTAGGAGGTAAAAAATCAGTAAAACTAACTCTTTCAATATTGGGGGCCTGATTTTGTAATCTTGATCCAACATTTGCAAAATGAAAGTTAAATAGCTCAGGATCATTCTCATTGATAGTTTGACAATTAGTTGTACCAGGGGTCATATTTGATGCCAGTTTGATAGTTTTCCATATCCCTTTAAGATCATTCTTGGCACTTTTAACTTGTAGATCATCGATTACATTAGCCTTTTTGCAGGTTTTAGCTAATTTATTTCTAATATTTCTCTGAATCTTGTAGCAATCCCAGGCCTCATTACACTTTATACATTTGCTACATGTACCACATTTATTGCAATTTCCATTGTCTCTCTTATCCTTCTTTTTACGGAATTTCTTTAGAAGAAAATGTGTATGATTAATGGCATATAAAAGTTCAGTAGAAGGTTTATGTATGAACTTTTCATGCCTTTCTATGGTCTTGCAAGGGAAGAAGGTTGCATATGCCTGTTCAATATGATGACAAAGGCCAGCTGTGATAGCTTCAACATCTGTACTTTCCAATAGTGGACTGTAATCAGAACAGGTGTCTAGATAGTCTAAGAATTGTTTAACATTACGTTTACAATGATTTCTAATTTCAACCTTCTCAAATTTAGGAGCTATAGGTACTTTACAATCTATCTCACACATAATAGCTTGATGATCTCCAATACGTTCATCAAGAACAGAAGATTGGACAAAATCTGCATAACAGTTAGTGAATATTACATCAATAGTAGTCTGGGTAACATTGTCTCCACGTTTAGCAACTCTAGTTATCCCTTGAATGGTTTGAACTAGATTGTAACATCTCAAGGTCATATCTAATTTTTTGTACTGGGTGGATGAGATATTATTCTGGTCAATGTTTATATCCCCAATCCAGATAACCTTTTTCCCATTCAATTTTTTCATGCAAAAATGAATGTATTCAATAAAGTTATCAACACTGCAATAATTTCCAGAGCGATAGAAGCAGCAAACATTGATCTTGCTATTCTTAAGCTTCACCCACAATGCTTCAATGTTATCAAGCTTACTATCCATAACTAATTCTGCGTAAGCTAGTTTTTTATTTATCATTAAGCCACAACCACCCCTAGAACTGTTTGGCCTGTCGCATCGCATAAGGTTGAAGGAGGAAGGAATATTTATGGTGTCTGTGTCAATAGTATCATTAAGATTCATCTCATTTAGGGAAAGTATGTCTAATTTATGATCTCTAATAAGTTGGGAAAGTTCATTACTTTTAGCTAAATTGAGAAGCCCTCCTTGAATGTTACAATGACCAATGCAGAGGTTGTGAAACCTATCAGCTGCATTATTAAAATTTGTCATCTTGTGAATCTTATTAATTCACAATGGAATGAATAAAAGTTGTAAAGTTGTGTTTAAACTAAAAAACAGAATAAAAGCAGGTTGTATTTGTCTGGATGTCGTACTGTAAAAATAAAACTGATGGTAGGAGTGTTATGTCAGTATTCAGCAGTATTCTAATGGTGTGCATGATACTTCAAGTGCCTTGCTAATTTAACTATGCCATAATCATTGAGATGGACATTATCCTCTCCATAACTACTAAAAAATGACGATTTTCTAAAGCCTTTCTTATCACTAAACAAGAAACGATTTGTCTCGGTTGAGAGCAGTTTTACATAGGTGTATTTTCTTTGCAGATTTGATATACACTCATTGATATCAGTTATAACCTTGTTTCTGGAGAAACTCTCCCGAGGTAATAAGTTAACAATTTTAATATCAGCTCCAGGTGCCCACTTGTGAAGGAAAAGTACAAGTTTTTCAATACAATTGTTTGTAAAGTCAAGAGCTCTAGCATCACCAGAAAAACTATCAGGGCACAGAAGTTTAGTCCTCATGTTGCGAGGGCTGTTCAGGATAGAGTCCACGTCATTTGTACCACACATAAGTACAATGCTTTTCACATTATTGGTATTAAGAGTGTCTTTTCTTACATCTGATTGAAACCGTTCATTGATTGCATTGGCTGTGGCACCAGGGTAGCTGAATACATGTGCCTCATGATGTTTGGACGATAGCTTTTCTCCCTCTAATTTGGAGAACATACTAGAGCTAATGTAGACACACAAAGATTTACCAGAATGTTCTATTGATCTAGTCTTAGGGGCCGAGGGTTCAGTGTTCTTAACTTGACTGGAAACATCAGACAGAGTAGATAAGGTTGCGCTGCCATCAATTAGGCGCAGAGTAATGCTTATTCTCATGGTTTCAGACTTGTCCTGGATGAGGCTGTGTTCAAAGCTGGTCTGGGATTGTCTGGTCATATTCATTATGTCACCATGGGAGAGGGTGAGGTCAGCAATATGAGCTCTAAGTTTGGATCTGAAGCTTAGGACTCTAGTAGCCCCTAAAGAGATGGTGGAGATCATGGAGCCTGGTGAAATTGACCTCTCGTCATCCGAGTGAAAGGGAATTCCTTGCTGACCATTTCTATACTTGGTAATCATAGCACTATTGAATATCAATTTTGGGAACTGTGAGCGTAAGCGTTCTAAAATAGACTTTAGGTATGGATTGTCTGCTACTGGCCTTGTGTTATGAAAGCCTCCATTGTAAGCGTAGGGAAAGTCCCCGTAATATGCAACTGCCCTATTCTCAAACTTATGAGTATAGTGGGTTTCTATATCTAACTTGGCAGTGTCAACAAACTGAAAAACTCCTCGACTCAAATCTTGGTATGGATTGATAGAGTTGGTCACATCATTGTCACCATTTACAGAGTGTTTGGGATTTTCCAAATTGATAATTTCTGCTGAATGTTCACTGTCTTCTGCTAATTTGGATAGCTCTTGGGTTAACTCAGAAACAAGATGCGAGGATGACCTATTACTGAGGGGAACATTGATAGACTGTTCACAGTGATCAGGTACCTGGGGCAACACAGGGATAAGTGAACCATCGCTGAGGGGAACTTTGAGTGCACTGTCACTTTCTGATAATTGTTTATAGAGAAAAGAAATTTGCCGACGAAGACTATCATTCTCTCTTAATAGAGTTAAACAATTTGAACATTTATCAGTAGGACAAGAGCCGTTGCTGGGGAATTTAACAGAATTCCCTCGATATCTCAGATTGTAATGTCTTGAGCCAACTGGGATTCTAGACATAGTTTATCACAAAAAGATGCTACTGTTCGAAATTTAGTTAATGATTACAGTACCTTTGTAGCACTCCGGAGGATAAGGATAAGTGATGTCTGATAATCTTTAGGTGATAGATGGGAGTAAACTGCTTTAAAAACCGATGTCTGATAGTCCTTAGGATGTCTTTAAGATAACTTTATCGTGCAACAACCATTTACATTGACATACAACCTGTAATGGTCGTTACATTTACCGAGGCATTAGTTCCCACTGGGGGTCCTCAATAAATGTAATAGATTTGTAGTGTTGTAATTAGTTTCTCGGCATATAACCTAAGTTTGTACTCCTTAGCTATCGCGGGTGGCATATTAGATTTTGTAACAGGGACAGTAATGGTCTTCTTTAATTTGGCTGGGGTGCTGCAGGGGTTTGGTTTGGGAGTTTCTGTTTGTGCCTTTGGCGCTAGTATGGGTTTTGGAATCAGTCGGGGGTCACAACTTTTTGGTACTTCCAGTGGGCTGGGGGTCTGAAGAGTATCGAAGAACTTATCATGAGAAGCCGAGAATCCTCTACCAGTTTTATCCTGGATTACCATGGATCTGTTTCTCGTGATAACATTTCCAACACTGTTCAGAAGGGTGTATGAGCGAAATTTGCGGTCAACAGACACAACTTTGGCTTGGCGCCAAGTCTTGTCAGATTTCCCGTCTTTGTAAATCACTATATCACCCGGGTTACACATATCAAAAGATTTAGTAGCATTTCTATTATAATATTGAGCACTTGCTGCTTGTCTATCGAGTAATAATTTACGGTTTTTGCAGTCTCTCTCAGTTACCAATGAGCTTTGTAAATATGGCAAATTTGTCTTAACATCTCTTCCCATTAATAGATTATGGGGGCTTCCCAATTGAGGGCTCAATGGAGTCGCTCTATAGTCTAGTAAACACATATTAACATTATCTAAATTACCTTTACATCGTGTAATAATGTTCTTAACGTGCCCAATAGCTCGTTCAATCTGCCCATTAGATTGACTGTATCGTGCGGAACTAAAACACTTATCGATATCATATTTCTCACAAAACTTCCTCATTACCACCGACGCGTATATTGGTTCTCTGTCTGAAAAAGCTATATCAGGAATACCAAAACGGGCAAATATAGACTTAAAATGTGAAATAAGTTGGTCAGACGTCGGATTTCTAGATAACTCGCTAACTTCTATCCATTTGGTAAAGTAATCTATGACAACTTGATATTTCCGACCCATAACAGTAACAATATCTGCTCCTACTTTCTCAAATGGTCTCAATGGAACACTATGCGATTTGAGTTCAACTTTCATCGGAAGCTTCCGTGTACTTAGACACTCAGTACATTTGTCGACCATATTGTCGATATCTGAATTAATATTTCTCCAATATACTCCCTTTCTAGCTAAAGCTTTACATCTAACACGACCCTGGTGTGTGTCATGCAACTTTCTCTGAATATCATTTTGCAAAACCTTTGGAATTACAATTCTATCATCAAACAGAACTAAGTCGTCAAAAACTGACAGTTGGTCTTTCATTGACCAATACGGAGTAACATTTGGATCACATTGCCGTGTGTCATCTGGCCACCCATTGGTGATATATTCCGTGATTTTAGCTAAACAAGGATCCCTAGCCGTTTCTATTTTAAGTTTATGTTTCATTTGCATCGAACTCTTTACAGTCTCTACAATCATGTGTACATTAAGATCACATTCTCGCTCTAAAACAGTGTCGTGAGTGGAAATTGGAACTGTGGCACGACTAAGGGTGTCTGGTATGACGTGATCTTTACCTGGTTTGTAGGATAGCTTGTAGTCATACTTCTGTAGTCTGAGCAGGAGGCGCTGGCATCTGGCTGGGTTTGCATGAATTGGTTTCATGGATATCGGAGTCAGAGGCTTGTGGTCTGTATATACCTGCACGTGTTTCCCATACACGTATTGGTTGAACCTCTCTAAGCCAAATACAACTGATAGTAGCTCCTTTTCAATATTTGCATACCGCTTCTCTGTTTCAGTCAGTGATCTTGAAGCATATGCTACTGGTTTTCCTTGCTGTAAGAGACAGGCTCCCAAACCAGCTTGGCATGCATCTGTGTGTATCTCAACGGGTTTGGTGACATCATAATGTGCCAGAGCTGTATCATCTGTAAGGTCCTTCTTGAGATCGTCAAATGCCTTCTGTTGCTCGAAATTCCAGCAGAATACTTTGTCTTTGTGGAGCATGGTCCTCAAGTGGTGTGTCTTTTCACTGAGGTTTGGAATATATCGGGCCAGATACGTTACCATGCCCAGGAATCTCTGGATTCCTTTTTTGTCTGCTGGTGCAGGCATCTGAGTTATCGCGACAATCTTCTCTGGGTCGGGTTTGAGTCCTTCCGGTGTGATAATGTGTCCGATATACTTCACCTCGTCACACAGGAATTTGCACTTCTTTTTGTTCAACCTTATTCCTACTTGGCTGCATCGTTCTAACACAGCTCCAAGCCTGGCCGTGTGCTCTTCGAAGGTGTTAGAGAATACGAGGATATCATCAAATATTATCAACACGCCTGGGAAACCTTCGAATTTTTCTGTCATTCTCTTCTGGAATATTTCATTTGCGCTGTTCAGTCCGAAAGGAAGACGAAGGTATCGGTACCTTCCAAATGGAGTGTTGAACGTGGTCAGCTTGCTGGATTTCTCTTCGAGGGGGAGCTGCCAATATCCACTTTTGAGGTCTAGTTTGCTGAAACATCTTGCATTTGTTATCTTTGATAACGTTTCTTCTGGGGTAGGCAAATGGTGGTGTTCTCTCATGACCCATCTGTTCAGATCCGTGGGGTCAAGACATATTCTTAGCTTCTCTGGTTGTTTTACAACCACCATCGAGTTCACCCAATCTGTGGGTTCGTCAACTTTCGTTATCACTCCAAGCTTCAGCATCCTCTCCAGTTCCTCTTGGACTTCGGTGTGGATCGAGAAGGCTAGCTTTCTTGCCGCATGTTGAACTGGTTGTGCACCGTCTTTCAACTTGATCTTCGATTTTACGTTTGACAGGCAGCCAATCGTGTCTTCTTTGAAAACATCTTCGTGATCTTTCATCAGGTCTCGTATCTTATCTTCGTGTTGGGACTTTGTCTTGGGTGTTGCTTCTTTCTTCTCCCTTAGACTTTGTCTACCAGAGAGAATATCAACCTGAAATTGATGTGAAGGTCTGTGATGAGGTGTTGTGGGGTTAGTGTGAACTGGATTCGACGAGCTGGTTGTGGTCGGTGGTACACTCGCAAACGGGTTAATGAGATTGAGTCTGATCAATGATTCTAAACCTAGAATAGATCTGGCTAGAAATGGTACAACATGAAATTCAGCTCTGTGCTTATTACCGTTTATCTCACAATTAAGCAATATAGTACCTAAAGAGGTTATTCCAGTTCCTCCATAAGCTTTTAATCTAATACTAGTATCTCTAATTTTGGGGTTTGATACAATCGATTTTAACACTACACTAGAGATAACATTGCATTCAGCACCAGTATCAATTTTGCAAAGAGTTTTTCTACCATTTAAAAGAATTTGCTCAGTCCATTCCCTACATTTGATTTCTTCAACTGCTCGTTGACTTACCGAGATAGCACCAATGTTGAGTTCCGAGGTGTAGATGCTGTCATCTTTGTCGTCTTCGTTCATCACTGCATCTAGATCTTCTTCGGAAGGGTCGCAAAAATCTTGGTGGATCATGTCGATCTTTCTTTTAGATCTGCAAACCTTGGCGAAATGGTTCTTCATTCCACATTTTGAACATGTCCGTCGATACGCTGGGCAGTGCTCAGGGTTTCCAAACTGGTGTTGGTTCCCACAATAACCACATTTTCCTTGTGAGTTTTGCGGTTTGTATCTCTTGTTAACTTGAGGTTTTGATGGTTCGTTTTGAGGTCTGGGTCTTTTCCTCCCGATGGCATTTATGCTGGCGTTAGTTGTAGCTAGCAGTGTTTGAATCCTCTTGTCTGCCATCTCCTGGGTTTTAACAATTTTGACTGCAGTTTCCAGTGTGAGGTTGTGTTCTCTAAGAAGCCTTGTTTTCGTGGCTCGGTTAGACACTCCTACTACGATCCTGTCTCTGATGAGGCTCTCTGATATGTCCTCTGCTTCAAGTTTGATCTTTTTCTTCTCTCCACCTTCTAGATCGATTTCTATTTCTCTTGGCGGGATCGTGTAGTTGCATTTCTTAGCCTGCATTCGAAGCCTCATTTGAAATGCTTCAATGGTTTCCTCTTCTTCCTGGTCCATTGTGTTAAAAATGTGTCTTTCTACCGTCTCGTTTGCAGTATGTCTAAATTTATTTATGATCTCGACCTTGATCAACTTGTATGAAGCTTTCGCTTCATTGCTTAGGCTTGATACAAATTTTTTCACGGCTCCCCCACACAGCTGCATCAAAATGGCTTTCTTTCGCCTGTCGTCTATTTCCCCAAAATTTGCAAGCATTGAGTCTTCAAATTCTTCTACCCACTGGTCGAAAGGCTGGTCATTTTCATACTGGGTACATTCGAAAAATCCTCTAACTTCTGACACCATGTTATGTTATGTGCTTGCGTTATTGTTGGACAAGTCATACACTAGTTTCCCATCAAAACCTGAACAATATATAATTAACCATTTATTCAAATACAATATATATCAACAATATATATCAAATATACAATACATAACCTTATATATATACCTTATTTACGGTACTATTTTCCTTTGCCCATGGTTTATGGTAAATCAATGTTTTACTGTATCGGAAATACTGATACAAATTTCTTAGAACAGGATGGCTGCTCCACCTGCAATGATAGAAGATGTTGATGATCTTGACTTAATTCCAGATGAAGAGCTGGAGGAAACTTATCTTGAGAGAATAATTGGTCTTAGAGGTAAATATACACTATATTTTATATGGTATTATCCTGTTAGGGGTCAGCCGAGGGGGAGGGGGTTTCTAAATGATTAGGGGTCGTTCACATATTACGTAATCAATTTTTGGAACATTTTGACCCCCCCCCCCCCCCCCCCCCTTCCGTAATCAGTTTTACACATAGCCATTGTGTCAAAATTACAGTAGCGTAATCATTCGGAAACCCCCCCCCTCAGCTGATTACGTGATAATATGTGAACGACCCCTTACGGAGAGGAGGTTTCTAAATGATTACGATTGACTACAGGGGGGGAGGGGGTGGTTGATTGGCTGTTGAGTATGTAATCAAAATTTTCTTTTTTACCCTCTAGAATAATAACAATTTGACAATATTTTAATTCAAATTCCGCTCAACTTCACTCTGAAAGTGATAAAATTTAGGAATGGATTGGGTACCTGACTGCTAAAGTAGTTTGGAAAGTTCTTGGCTGGATATCATGACAATGATTTCGGCTCATAATGATCGGGGTAGGGGGCCGGGGTCAGGCCATGATTACGTAATTTTGTTGTCAGGAGGGGGGGGGGGGGGGTGGGTATTGATTACGGTTGATTACGGAGGGGGGAGAGGGGTAAAAATTGCTCAAATATTATATATAAAAGTAATATGGGGGGGAGCCAAGTGGATATTTGTAGATATTTGGATAATGTCATCCACTTTTTTCGTGAATTATCCATTACAATAATCTACAAATATCTACATTTATCTACAAAAAATGTATATCTCAAATATGTGCCCAGAAATTCTACTGAATTTTTGGAGATAAATGTATAAATTTGTAGAATTTGTAGAATTTTCGTGAATTATCCATTGACAATAATCTACAAATATCTACATTTATCTACAAAAAATGTAATCTCAAATATGTGCCCAGAAATTCTACTGAATTTTTGGAGATAAATGTATAAATTTGTAGAATGTCATCCACTTTTTTCGTGGATTATCCATTCTACATTAATCTACAAATATCTACAAATATCCACTTGGCCCCCCCCCCCCCCCCCCCCTAATATGTGAACGACCCCTTATTGATAATTTACAATTCACAACTGATTTATTAAAAGTTTATAACAGAATGTACTTAAATTTGAACCAATTGAAATGAAATTAAATGTCCCATTATTTGTATTTCAGAAATGTTCCCACGTTCAGCCAGGACGGGAGGAGCCTTTGTGGCCACCACCACCAAAACCTCATCGCTGTGGCTGTATCATTTTATAAAGAGTGCGATATGGATCACAACTACTTCTGCTATTATAATGGCCCTTCCAGTGGCCATTGAGATAACTCAGATTCAAGCTGCTGATGACATGAAGAAGGTGCGGCAGGAGAAATTGTTTGCTAAATAGTGCACTGTGTGTGATTATGAATGAAGTTTGTGGTACTTTGTACATGTCTGCCAGTCTGTTAACCAGGAAACTAGCTAAATTCAATGTGTCTTTTCCATTTGAGTCATCTATAAATCATCTATGGCTTAGGTTACAACCAAGAGTTTGTTGCGAACTTGCTAATATTGATCACAAGCAGATTGATATATTTGTTTAAGTTTAAACTTTTGAAATTTTGGACCATTAAGTAGCAGTTCAGTGCACTAAGACTTATCAAAGAGTTTTTATACAGTATTTTGTCGTTATTTGAACTCACTGCACTATTATGACCTAGAACCTGACTCTATTTCTAACTGTACGGCAACAGTCAGAATTTGATGCTCACAAAACCTCTTATTGATTTGCAGATACTGTTATATGGAGATATTCTATATCTTATGTTAATAATTTATTATTTTTATACAGTGCTTAAAGATTTGTATAACCTTCTACCATGACTTCTGCATAATGTATATAATCATTCCAAGTCTATCTCTGGACAAGTTTAAAATTTCAAATCCATTTAGAATTTTGAAAGGTTGATTTATTAATTTATGGTTATCAAAATAAAACCAAAAATTCAATTTTTAACAAATCTTAAAACACTCTAGATTATGACTTTAACAACCCTTGCTAATGTGGAACAGAAAGTCGAAAGAATATAAAGAATGAGAGGAAGAATAAAAACAACTGTGGTTGAAGGTAAATTTGTAAGTTCAATTTGTAACAGAGTTTTATATTAACAGGAAACGATGTAACTGAGTCAATATATTTTAATGTTGCCATGGGGTGGCAAGTCCCCATGCATCGTGGTCCAATAGTTTCATTGCGTCTTAATATAGGGACTAATACTCTATCAATATGTTGGTCTGTCCCTTGATAAATTGTCTCTTTCAGAGTGTGAAAGGGAAAGATAAAATGTGGATGCCAGTTTAGAGACCAAAACCTTAGCTGTGGCAGATCTCAATGTAAAAGTAAAGATGAAGGATTGTGCTCTTAAAGATGCCAGACAAGTTACTGAAGCTCACTAAACGGTTTGTGACACATTTGTTATAATATTACACATGGATCTTAGTACAATAAGTTTTCTTTCTGCTGTCAGACGTTTAATGTTCATATGATTAACTAATTGTCGTGATTCTTATAGCTTTAGAAAGTAAATGTTACTATGGGAGAGCCACAACCGTCAACATTTGTCACACTGCCAAGAGAAAGTAAACCTCCACTTGAATGCTCGAGTTCAAGAGCATTCAAGAGAAATCTTCCTAGGGACTTTACACTTATTTTGAAAGGGGGCGAAAAAGTACCTGTTAGTTCAGAGGTTCTCTGTTGGAATAGCCCAGTTTTCAGAGAAATTATTCAAGACCTGAAAGTGACAAGCCATGAAATGGATGACTTTGAATATGATGCTGTTGAATGCTTCATTCAATGTCTATATACAGGGAAATCAAAATCTTTGAGTGCTAACATCTTTAGGGAGTTTTATAAAATGGCTAATATATTTGTTGTTTCGTGGCTCATCTGCAAGTGCATACAGTTTTTTGAGGGTATAGCCAGAAAAGAGTACAAAGATATGGAATATCTTCATTTTCTTATTTCGGAGGCAGGTTATGCTTTTGAGACCTGTAAAGATAGCCGATTGATAGATCTTCTCAAAAGGTTGTCATCTGAAATTTTCTTCCCCACTGAATCAATCTGCCTGATTGTGCCATCGAACGAAGATTTGAATGATATTAGCTCAACTTCTTTGGAGTTGCTTAAAGTAGTCGCTGGAAATGAGGTCGAAATACTGGCAAGATTAGTTGAAGGATGTGTAAGAGAATCTAAATCTATGACTGAAAATGTAAAGCTTCTTTTGGACCCAGTTTTACTAGCAAGATGTTTGATCCGTGATAGTGGAACTTATTTCTGTCTGTTTGAAACTCTGCATCGTTTAGAAACCCTATCATTAGAAGATACGAAGTTCATCAGTAAGATACAATTAGAAAGCACTCGAAGAGTCTCTCAAATTGCCATTGTTAAACCCATTACAGTTGCGGATTTAAAAATTCCTGACCCAATATGTTGCCGTCCCAACTATTACATCAGTCAAAAACTCAAGGAAACGAGCAGCTACTCAAAATTTATCAAACTTTTTCGTGAGACTTCAACAGTTAAGAACCTTTATCAGTTTATTGATGGAATGATATTCTGGATGTATTTTCATGCTGAGAGTAATTTAATACCAAATTGGTCTAAGGATGTTGAACACGAAATAGTCACTATCAGAATGGAGCAACGATGGAGGAAAGTTTCAGATGAATACCTCATAAATAAACAGTTTCAAACAAAGGCAATGGATGATTTCTTTTCTTCATTGCTAAAATGTTCAAAACTAGTCTGCAAAAGGAAACCTCCCCTGATAGCCGACAGATGCGTATCAGTTCTCAAGCTGTTTAAACAGTCCCACGTTTTTCACTTTACCCCACCAAAAGAGACTAATCTGGAAAATAAAGCTTCAGTTTCAAGCTTTTCGATAAGATCGAGGTCTTCAAATGCAGGTTACCGTTCAAATTCACCTAATGTTCTTTTTGAGTTTATCCCAAAAGATGTAGATGGCTTTAAATCAATTAGCTCAAGCAGCGAAACCATTTATCCTCAACAAATGCATCTCTGCTTTACTGTAACGGGCAAAGCAAAAAGTGGTCCAGACCAGTTCGTAAATTGGGAACCTATGCCTCCCCTGACATGGGCAAGTGGGCTACATGGCTATCATCAAGGTAAACGATTTCATTTGTGCTGGAGAGAAATTGATTTCAAGGAGAGTGAAATTCCAGCTGTTGACGAAACCTTTGAAGGGAATTTCGAGCTTAAATGCAAATTATATTACTAAATGGATATAACTTTTTGAGTGAATGATAAGTAAATCTTCGTTGTGGGCTGAGCTGTGGCTGTAGTTTCTTCGATTTCTGCTATGCTGTTTATTAACAGTTTATAAGAAAACTCGATTTATTAGCGAAGAATCAGTATGGGGGGGGGGGGGGGGGGGGGGGGGGGGGTAATGACTACTTTTGGGGACTTGGGGAATTACGTCAATTCCCCATGATTTTTAGTCCCCATTAGTCCCCAAAAGTCTCCATTAGTCCCCATTTAGATTTCAAAAAATCTGGCTTCTCCAGACCAGATCGTAAACTTCTCAAGACTGAAGTCTAGAATATTTATAAATGGTCACTGGACATTCCTGACTTCTTGGGAGCTACTTGAGGGCTGTTAGAGTACCTCAGGTTATTAAACTAACAAAGCTGCCATATAGCCTGACTGACAATTTTCTCGACTGACTGACAATGTTTCTTCTTTTCCCCATTTAGTCAGTGATTTATTATTGAAGCTTGTAATTACAATAACTAATGCTTCTGTAAATACTTTAATTAATTGTTTGTTCCGTTATTCTTTTTCCTTCCTCTTTTCCTTGTCATCCCCTTTAGTTTTAAGATTCTTGCTATAAATGGCTACAGCTAACACTATTAAGGCCAGAGGGGGGCCGGGGGGGGGGGGGGGGGGGGGGGGGGTAAATGGCACTTTTCTAGTTTTCACATATTTGATAATAGCTGCTGGAGACGAACAAGAAGAAAAAAACCGGATCAAAATCTGACCTTGCGTTCCTGAGATATCGCGCGCTAAATTTTGAGGTTTACCTGTAATCACATGTTAAACTGGATATTTAAACGGCTGTAACTTTTTTGACCTTTCGATTCCTTAGTTGAGAAAACTGGCCACTCCCTGATCTTGAGGTTTGGTACAGTGGTTCCTTGGACAATTATCCTCATTTATGATGCAGCGATTTTTTTTATTTGACTCGGTTCTTGAATTATGAGGTTAACCATGTCAAAAATTCGACAAATTTAGCTGGTTAACCTCATAATTCGAGAAACGAGTCGAATAAAAAAAATCGCTGCATCTAATGTCTAGATACTTGTCCAAGGAACCACTGTACCAAATCTCAATATCAGAGGGTGGTTGGTTTTCTCAACTAAGGAACTGGAAGTCACAGAATGTGTTTTGAGATAGATGCAATTTAGTGTTTTCAAAATTTTGAATATTCACTGGAATGTATCACAGTTCGTTAGTTAGGACTTTTTATACACTTAATAACGTTTGCTTGATCAGACCTGGCCGTCCCCTGAATGATTTTAGCCACTTTCAGTAGTTAATGTCCTTGTATTGTAAAAAATGAGGTTAACCAAGACTTCCTGTAAACACTAACTGCTTAAAATTTGGTTGTTAACCTCGCTTTAGACCATATAACACTGGGATTGGTTTATCAATATGTTATTATATATGTAGTAAAACATTTGCACAGTATAACGATTAAGTTTTTGAGGTTAACATGTAATTGACTGGTCAGATATTCAAAAAATGAGAGGTTAACCTCATTTTTAAGCCATTTACGGGCAAAATCTTCTACTAAAATATGGTCAGTTCAAATCACCTTTGTCACGTGATTATAGTTGTAGGCATTGTGATACCAATAGATACCTCACTTCGATATTGTGGTACATTACAAAAGTAAGAATCGTATGTATATTCCCTACGGTACCAAAATGTGATGGTTAACCTCATTTTTTTATTTTCCAAGATAAAAGAAAGTCATTCAACACGTCATCTATTTGGAAATGTGTAATGTGTATACCGTAAACTTACGATGAAAATAATAACTCTATCATGTGATCTATTCTCGCTATATCTAAAAGAAGAGGTTAACCTCATTTAATCACGTTTGGATATTAATTTTTCTGATAATTATGAACCTAAAGTTTAGAGTTTACATTTGCTGACCGAAATAACAAAAAATTATGGCGTGTAATAAAATTTTAACCTCAATTTTATTAACCTCAATGTTGTATAGTCAATTTTGTGAAAATCGGTTAACCTCAATTATAAAATAAAGTTAATCAGCTACAAATATGTGAATAGCAGCAATGTTTTTGTCATCCAAAATTAAATCGATTTAGAAAATAATATTTTGGTAGAAATGTTTGACCCCTTACCCCCCCCCCCCCCCCCCCCCTCTGGCCTTAATGCTAAGTTCTAAACAACAAGTGGGAGGTGGATCGTTGGTATACCATTAAATCGATTTAACACCGCAATTCCAGTCGCAAGCCTGGGACCACTACTAGCATAGTCACTACATCGACAAAGCTGCCATATAGCCTGACTGACAATTTTCTCGACTGACTGACAATGTTTCTTCTTTTTCCCCATTTAGAATACAAAGATTAGTACATTTTAGCTTATGATTAATATTATATTTTTACCTATAGTTTACCTAGATTGAAAACCATAAATAACTGTCAAAAATTCTGGGGACTTATGGGGACAAATGGTGAATTACGTCAACGAGTTGACCTCTAGTCCCCACGATTTTTAGTCCCCATTAGTCCCCAAAAGTCTCCATTGGTAGTCATTACCCCCCCCCCCCCCCCCCCCCCCCCCCATCAGTATATTTAAATAATTATAAATATCTTTATTGAATATTGAAATTTGAATCGTTTTGATGAAATATTACATCGTTCTGTATTGAAGATTTTAAAGATATCGAAATTGCATAATGTGATGTGTCTCCTAGGAGGTCATGATAAAATAGCTTGAATCATTTTGTCGGGTACGTTTTTTAATATGTTTTATAACTGACGATTTTTGAGATTATCAAATACGATTTTGGTCCAAAAAAGTATTAAATTGTTGTGTATTTGATTCTCCTTTTTTTAATAATTGAGTGTCTTTCTAGAGATTAATTAAATACTATTACTGCTATATTTGAATATTAATTGTACTTGTAGGTGATTTTTTGAAATGTGCTTATTTGTATTGTTTTGGCGAATCAATTGTTTTTTAGATTGCAGACATGTATTGAAGTTTGTAATAATAATAAACCAATTGCAATATAATGTAAAACCCCCATTTAACCCCCCCCCCCCGAATTTACCGCGCGGTCTCCTTTCCCACGCTTAACGTGTATAATGTAAACAAAGAAAACCCTGATTTACTGTGAACCCCGATTTACCGCGGATGTTTCCTTTCCTCCAACTTTATATACTATATGTTTTGATTCTTAGTCCTTAGAAGAGCACTCTATTATCAGTTTTTGACTGATTTGACTGATTTGAATGTCCTGCACAGCAGATCGAAGCTTCTTTAAATTATTTACTAGTTTTATTGTATTGCTGTGTAAGTTTGAATATAATTCTAATTCTAATTCTAATGTTTACTAATGCTGAATTGTTTTACTTGCGAGGTGCAACTTAATCATAGATTTAAACATTCTTCAATGACTCATCTCAAATTAAAATGATTTAGTTGTCGTGTGCGATGACTAGTATTGCAAATTTAATCCCAAATATTTGTGTAATCATTATAGCAGACAACATTCTCTTTTCGTTCCAAGAAACTCTATAAATAAGACATGATTGTTATTTATTATATATCATATGGAACTAATACCTCGTCGATCTATATCTATTGGTCTGTCCCTTAATAAATTGTCTCTTTCAGGGCGTGTAGACTGTGAAGTAAGATGCAATTTGGATGGCAGTTTGGAGACCGAAAGCTTGGCTGTGGGAGATCTCAGTGTAAAAGTCTATCATGAAGATGAAGGATTGTGCTCTTAAAGATGCCAGACAAGCTGCTGAAGCTCACTAAACGGTTTGTGACACATTTGTTAATAGTATTACACATGGATCTTAGTACAATAAGTTTTATTTCTGCTGTCAGTATTATGACGTTTAATGCTGATATGATTAACCTCAAACTAATTGCCATGAATCTTATAGCTTTAGAAAGTTATGTTACTATGGGAGAACCACAACCATCAACATCAGCGCTGCCAACAGATAGTAAGCCTCCACTTGAATGTTCGAGTTCAAGAGCATCCAATAGGAATCTCTTCCCTAGAGACTTCACACTTATTTTGAAAGGGGGCGAAAAAGTACCTGTTAGCTCAGAGGTTCTCTGTTTGAATAGCTCCGTTTTCACAAAAATTATTCGAGATCTGAAGTTGACAAACCATGAAATGGATGATTTTGAATATGATGCTGTCGAATGCTTCATTCAATGTCTATACACAAGGAAATCAAAGTCTTTGAAAGTTACCAATTTCAGGGAGCTTTATAAAATAGCCAACGTTTTTGATGTTTCTTGGCTCATTAGCAAGTGCATAGAATTTTTTGAGAAACAAGCTAAGAAAGGGTGCAATGGTTCGAATAACCTTCATTTTCTTATTTCGGAGGCAGGTTACGCCTTTGAGACCCGTAAAGATAGCCGATTGATAGATCTTCTCAAAAGGCTGTCATCTGAAATTGTCTTTCCTACTGAATCAATCTACCAGATTTTGCCATCGAACAAAGATTTGAATGATATTAGTTCAGGTTCTTTGGAGTTGCTTAAGCTAGTTGCTGGAAGTGAGGTCGAAATATTGGCAAGATTAGTTGAAAAATGTGTAAGTGAATCTAAATCCATGACCGAAAAAGTCAAGTTTCTTTTGGACCCAGTTTTACTGGCAAGATGTTTGATTCGCGACAGTGGAACTTATTTCAGCTTGTTTGAAACCATGCAAAATTTAGAAACCCTGACATTAGAAGATATGAAGTTCATCAGTAAGATACAATTAGAATGCACTCGTAGAGTCTCTCAAATTGTCATTGATATGCCCAGGACAGCTGTGGACTCAAAAATTCCGGACCCAATATGTTGCCGTCCCAACTATTACTTCAGTCAAAAACTCAAGGAATTGAACAGCTACTCAGAATTCATGACACTTTTTCGTGTGACATCAGCAGTGAAAAACCTTTACATGTTTATCGATGGACTAATATCTTGGATGCATTTTCATGCTAATAGTAAGGAACTACCAAATTGGTCTAAGGATATAGGAAACGAAATAATAACTTTAAGGATACAGCGACGATGGGGGAAAATTTCCGAAGATTACCTTACAAATAAAAAGTTCAAAGGAAAGATAATAAATATTTTCTTTTCTTCCATGCGAAACTGTCCAAATCTTGTTTGCAAAAAGAAGTCTTCCCTGATTGCCGAAGGGTTCGTATCAGTTGTTCAACTGTTTAAACATCCTCAAGTTATAAAATTTGCTGTACCAGGGCAGACATCCTTGGAAGGTGAAGCTTCAAGTTCAACACTCCTCATAAAATCGACTCCTTTAAACCAAGATTGCCCTTCACTTTCACCTGATATCCTATTTGAATTCTTTCCGACGGAAAACTCTGACTTCAATTCAGTCAGCACAAGCGATGAAACCATTTATCCTCATTAAATGCATCTCAGCTTTTTTATACATGGTAACACTAAACGTGGGTACAAATACCAAGGTTATACACCTATGCCACCCTTTACTTGGGCAAGTGGGCTACGTTGCCGTTATGATGAAGGTAAATTTTATGTGCAATGGAGGGAAATTGATTTCAAGAAGAAGGAAATTCCAGCTGCTGATAGAAACTTTGAAGGGAAATTGAAACTCAAATGTAAATTGTATTACTAAAGTGAATTATCAGTTAATCCTTAATGTGACTGTAGTTTCTTATGATTATTCAATATTAATTCTTTTGATACATTTTTTAAAAATTAGCTTTTTAAAGAACTGTTTGGAATGATATATTTTGTAATTAAAAATCAATTGTAATTAAATATTGTAATTATTTGCTGTTTACAGAACAATATAATATATTATACTTCAACTATGTATGATTTTTAAAATCTTTTATTCAAATCTTTAATTCATTGGTTTTCTGTAATTCGATAAATTCTCCGATTGTTCCATTAAGTCCATTTACAATTAGTTAATTTAAGTTATTAACCAAAGATATCTGATGCGACGCATAAAACTAATGCATTTTATTTACTGTGTGCATCAACAAATTTATAAGCAATATTAGGTGAAGCGCAGGTACCTATACTAGTTCCTAATGCAGTAATGATCAGGTTCGTCATATCGTTACGTACAGTCTTGGATGAAGCTAGAAGATACGACAGAGATGGGTAAAACACTGGAGGACTCAAGACTCAAGAAGGAGTAGAAGGAGGACTCAAGACTCAAGAAGGAGTAGAAGGAGGACTCTTCAAGAAGGACGATAAAGAACGGTGTGGGGGATCGGTATGTTCTACGAAGGGTTTTTGGGTTTTAGTTCTGATAATATAATGATTAATGTATGTGTTTTTAAGATTGGGCAGACTCTTGATCAGTGCCGGTTTGTAAGTAAACGATTCAAGGCTCTCATGTCTTGGTCATTCTAATAGTCACACATTTATTGGAATTTGTGTGAGGGAAATGAAACGCATGTCAGCCTATTTTTCTTTTCAGGCTGACGAATATTTTGGAGTGTATGCGATGTCAATGATAAAAGATGCAGATGGTCTTATGATTCCTGTTGAAGACATATTCTGAGACTCATTTGATTGTTTGTTCGTACTGTAAATTGTTCATCTTTCGAACTTGAGTTAACACCATATTATGTTCTTGTATCTATTGTATCTATAAGAATCTTTGAATTATACCTATAACACGTACAGAACTTAGTACCTGACGCCCCCCCCCCCCCCCCTCTCCCGACCTATAACCGGCAATAGTCTGATTTTAACCATACGGTAAAAGAATTCAGATTATCAATTGGCTGTCGGCTGATCATACTCTTAGGTTGCAAAATTCCATATTAATTATCTTGATTTGTTATTTTTACACCTCTTTAAATCTATTCTCCCGCGACCAGTGAACCCTATTTTAATTATATTACGTTTCAACTAGATAATGTCAGCAGCAGTGATAACCCCAGCAACAGAGGAACCTGTCAGAAATGAATTAGCTGAGTTACATGTGAGTTGTGAAACAGATTCAAGATTTCAGAAAACTTTTTCTCTATGAGAAGTGGTAATTGATTGATGTGTGATACGGTAGATGAGACAATTTCTGTAGCCTGGAAGTTTCAAGTTGTCAATGTCAAATCACCAATTATTTTATCTTGGTGTATTTTACAGTTAGATAACGGGGATGCAGATAAAGCACCAGAGCTAGAAGCTCCTGTAGCAAAGAAGAACAAAAAGAAGAAGAAGAAGAAGAAGCCAGCTGGTGAAACTCAAGAGGAAGGTAAGAAAATAAGAATCTTCCCATTTGGGAGCCAATCGTTTTTACCAATATTTGTACCTTGTACAATCCATTCATTGAAGCGTGTATTCATGTTTGGTATGTAAGGTATAATTAATTTCCTGGTCTACTGAAAATGTCACTATTTTACATCCTGCAGGAATCTCAGAAGCAGCAAACGGGGAACAGAAACCAGAGAACGGCGATGCTGAAAATGGAGCTGCAGAAGAAGGAGCTGAGGGTGGCGCTAACACTGAGGCTCCTGCCAAGAAGAAGAAGAAGAGGAAGAAGAAGAACAACGCTAAACCGGTGCAGACTGATCCTCCAACTATTGCTATCGGGGATTTGTTCCCTGACGGAAACTTTCCGGAGGTAAATCATGTTGTGATTAGTACCTGATCCCCCTACCCCCACCCCCGGCCCTACCGCCCCTACCCCTACCCCCCTACCCCCACCCTCTCTACCCCATACAGCCATACCCCCCTACCCTTCCTACCCTCCCTATCCCCACACGGGGGGGGGGGGGGGGGGGGGGGGGGAGACTGAAAAGTATGAATTTAGATGAATAATTAAAATGTAATCATAGACCTGTTTCCCAGAATTAAGATTGATGAACAGTATGTGTTACACGTGTGTTACACGTGTGTTGCACGTGATCAATAAACTAATCATTCCTGCAATGAATACTTACTGTTAATTTTCAGGGGGAGATATGTCAGTACAGAGACGACAATCTGTGGAGGTTCTCTTCGCAGGAGATGAAGATGAAGGACTACGCTTTTGAAGAAGCTCTGAGAGACGCCAGGCAGGCTGCTGAAGCCCACAGAACGGTATGTGACAGTTGCTAGGTAGCAGGTAACCAGGTAACCTGGTAACCTGGTAACCTGGTAACCTGGTTACCTGGTTACCAGGTTACCAGGTTACCAGGTTACCAGGTTACAAGGCAGGCTGCTGAAGCCCACAGAGCGGTATGTGGCAGATGCCTTCACTTTAGAAGGAGCTTCATGCGGTTAAGGCTTATGATTTGTTCAACTTTTGGTATATGATTGGCCTGAAACTAACCTAGCCTAAGTTCTATATAGCATATATGCATATGCCACTGGCATAATGCCAGACCATACCGAACGTATCGTCCAGCTGAGTTCCTTTGACTATATTATTATCATGAAATCAAACTGAAAATACATGCTACCACTTTAAGTCATCATCTAAAATATCAGATATAAAATATCCCTCATAGATCCTGTAACTCACAGTTACATTAGCAAGTACATTGTACAATCATCACATATCCTACAAAAGTGGATCAAGCCAGGACCGCGGTTACATAGTAACGTTTTTAAAAAGCTGTATAAGTTAAATAAGTTAACAAATATACTAAGTTTATTATTCCCAGGTTCGCCAGTACGTACAGTCGTGGATCAAGCCCGGACTCACCATGACAGAGATATGTGAGAAGCTGGAGGATTGCTCCAGAACTACGATTAAAGAGAACGGTTTGCAGGCTGGCCTTGCTTTCCCCACTGGTATGTCATTATAAGAGTTGGTTTTCTGTTTTTATTTGTTGTACGTGGTTTACCGCTGCCAGTTTGTATAGTTTTTCTGTAGAATCTTTGGAGCTATACGTCGGTGGTACGTGTCGTTCTTGTCGATGAGCAAGACAGATCTCATTGTAGTTGTCATAGTGTGCTAACGGTAATTACATTCCTCTATCTCTATTAGATAATCAGTGATGAAATTATTGAGAAGGAAATGAAGATTATTTTCCTCCTGATTTTATTATTTTCCTCCTGATTTCTTTCATTCAAGTGCCGTATGTGGTATTTTGGGTTTTGGAACTAAAGTCATTAGCATATTAATAAGTTATTCAGAATAAGAGATATACCCTGCTACCCAAGCCCAACTGAATCATTAATATCACCTTACACAGCATATTGTCCTCACATTTGCAAATATATGTCATTGATTATTACGTAGCTACATTATAAGCCAGCAGCATTACTTGACAACCCAGAGCTTTAGTTAACTGTGAGTTGTCACTAGTGACAAACTAGTGAGTGAGTGAGTTGCTCTGGTTCACAGGTTTAAACTAATGATATTTTGATGATTTGGCTAGACAATCGTTGTTAGCACTAGACAGCAGGCATTATTTTAGCCATTATTTTAGCCATGGTATGTGTCCTCGGTTGTGGTGCGGCCTACAATGTTGTAAAGAAAAGATGACAGCCATATTTCTAACTACTACCTTCTGATACGATAGTTTGATAAAAAGCACTTAGCAACAACTTATTTGATGATACTTCAGTATCAAATTGAGAGAGGATACTGTGAACCCATCAAATTGTGGACACCTCAATTCCTGGAATCACATTGCATCCACTGACACTTATCATCCTTACAAACACGTGACATTATAACCACGTGACATTATAACCACGTGACATTATAACCACGTGACATTATAACCACGTGACATTATAACCACGTGACATTACAACCACGTGACATTATAACCACGTGACATTATAACCACGTGACATTATAACCACGTGACATTATAACCACGTGACATTATAACCACGTGACATTATAACCACGTGACATTATAACCACGTGACATTATAACCACGTGACATTATAACCACGTGACATTATAACCACGTGACATTATAACCACGTGACATTATAACCACGTGACATTATAACCACGTGACATTATAACCACGTGACATTATAACCACGTGACATTATAACCACGTGACATTATAACCACGTGACATTATAACCACGTGACATTATAACCACGTGACATTATAACCACGTGACATTATAACCACGTGACATTATAACCACGTGACATTACAACCACGTGACATTATAACCACGTGACATTATAACCACGTGACATTATAACCACGTTACATTATAACCACGTGACATTATAACCACGTGACATTACAACCACGTGACATTATAACCACGTGACATTATAACCACGTGACATTACAACCACGTGACATTATAACCACGTGACATTATAACCACGTGACATTATAACCACGTGACATTATAACCACGTTACATTATAACCACGTGACATTATAACCACGTGACATTATAACCACGTGACATTATAACCACGTTACATTATAACCACGTGACATTATAACCACGTTACATTATAACCACGTGACATTATAACCACGTGACATTACAACCACGTGACATTATAACCACGTGACATTATAACCACGTGACATTATAACCACGTGACATTATAACCACGTGACATTACAACCACGTGACATTATAACCACGTGACATTATAACCACGTGACATTATAACCACGTGACATTATAACCACGTGACATTACAACCACGTGACATTATAACCACGTGACATTATAACCACGTGACATTATAACCACGTGACATTATAACCACGTGACATTACAACCACGTGACATTATAACCACGTGACATTATAACCACGTGACATTATAACCACGTGACATTACAACCACGTGACATTACAACCACGTGACATTATAACCACGTGACATTATAACCACGTGACATTATAACCACGTGACATTACAACCACGTGACATTATAACCACGTGACATTATAACCACGTGACATTATAACCACGTGACATTATAACCACGTGACATTATAACCACGTGACATTATAACCACGTGACATTATAACCACGTGACATTATAACCACGTGACATTATAACCACGTGACATTATAACCACGTGACATAACCACGTGACATTATAACCACGTGACATTACAACCACGTGACATATATGTTATTTAAATGTTCTGAACATGAGGACTATTTATAGTGTAAGTATTATATAGTGTGATGAAAGGATAGGATTCCCCATAAGTACAATGTATTCACTTTGTGATATTATTTTACAAAATAATACAACGCAAAGCTTTAATTACGAACACGATATAACTGAACACATCTTTGTGTTCAATGTTTCTACCATTAATTTTAACCAGGTCAATTAAGTTATTAACTTTAATTAATGTCATGTAATCATTAAGTTATTTAAATTAATTTATATAAAGGATAGATACAGTTTATCACGTTATTAACCAGACCGTTGACACATGTAGTGTCACTAGGGAGTAGCTAATGATCTATGCGATCTCCTCGGTCGACTCAGCCGAATGATAGGAAACTTGATTGAGGGTTAAATGAGGAGGGGTACCTGCTAAAAGATCAAGAATCTTACTAGAATACCCCTTCAGTAAATCTACTGTACTATTACTATTACTATTATACCAAGTTATTAACCTGACCGTTGATACAGGTAGCTGACATGATCACATATTGACGCACATGATAAAGACTCCCCTGATGGAAACCCACAACATAGTGATATTCACGGACCCAGGAGAAGAGATAGATGACGAAGTAGCTCTGTGGGGAGCAGACAAGCTGTTCAGCTCTCTGAGCTACAAGGTCCGGTCATGTGTGTGTCAGTGGAGACATTACAATGTACACGTGGTAGTGGTGGACGGCAAGATAGCCGCAGGAGAGAGGCTCGCGCGGTGTAAAGCTGTGCTGGGGGAACCCCGGTGTATGAAGTACTGGACCCCTAAAGAGTTTGATCCGATTCTCATGACGGGAGCTTCTGTTCTTATTATTGGTCCTCTGGAGCTTGGAGGAGACTCGGAGAGGATCATATCGGAGGAGTGCGCACCGGAGCTGGTGGTACTAGCGGGGACCATGCATTGTAGTGTTAACTGGGGCCAGACTGAGATCGCGCAGAACAACTGCGAGAAACTTCTAAGTGTCGCCAAGCAATCTTACGTCATCCAATCCCACCGACTTAGTGAACAGAAAATGAATGGTGCTTTTGTAAAGAAGCTACCCAAGAAGCTGTATAGCCACGTGGGTTGTCTCACCTATAGGTTTCTACTGGGGCGCGCATCCGGCCCTGCAGAGTTCGTGGCTCACTTGTTGAGTCCCACCCTGGCCGGATTGAAGGACAGACCTGCCAGCAACTTCGTGGCAATACAATCTGTCTACGAGCATGTTTACTCGGGCCAAAAGTTATCCGACATCGAGATCACTGACAAAGCGCGGGATATAAGCAAGGTATACTTCGAGAAGGATCTAGAGGGTTTCACTGACTACGTGCTTAAAGCCTCTAAAGAGGTGATAAAGAAAGAGTATGCTCAAGCTATCCAGGCCCTGCTGAAATTAGGCTGGTACACTGACAAAGTCCTGTTGAGCACTGATCCCCAGCTCTCTGATGAGCTTCTTCTGAAGAACCGTCCGCTGGAGTTTGTGCGGTTTAAGGAGAAGGTTTTCTCTGAGATAGGGTCCCCCTTACCCTGCTACGATTACACTGCCTTCAGGGAGTTCATGAAGTATGTGGTTGGGTGAGCCTGTGTACCTGATAGTGTTTGTAATTATTTGTAGTATCTGTTACCATGGTTACAAGACACAACACGTGTTAACTCTCGTGTTAAGTGTCCTGAAACTGGTTACTGGACTTGTCCGTGAACTTTATTTGAAGAAACTGATGTTTGGTTACACTTATATAGACTGAGTTATTAGCTTTGATCTAGTTAATGGTTACAGCTGAAATGCCTGCGTGACCTCCCTACTGACGCGCTTAAAGCGCAATCTACAGCGCTTAAAGCGCAATCTACAGCAGCTTAAAGCGCAATCATCATTATATGTTCTGTTTTACATCCGGCAGGGTTTGTCAAGGGTTCCGTGTTGTTTTAGTGGATTAAAATTGGAGGGGTTTGAATAAGGTACGTTTATCAAAACGACCTTTGAGATTGTGGACAAAATAAAAGCTTCGTTCGTTCATCATTTCGGATTTATTGAAAGACAATTGTTTATATGAACTCATTAAAATACTGTTTCAAAATTTAAGATAACATTAATTGACTGTTATCGAATACTCTTCAAGCACGAATGATGAATGATGATCATGTGTTTGAATTTATATGTTATGATGGTTTTGTTTATTTATATAACTTTTATACCTTTGATAGTTTTGTAAATATTGACGGAATAAATCTGTTCGATAGATTATATGTTTTGTAAATTTATAGGTGTAGGTTGTCCCTTTTAGTTTTCTAGTTCTGGATCTTTACCTTAAAGTTTTATAGTAAATTATTATAGCGAGTGGTTGATATATTTAAGCTGTTTATTTATTTAATTACAAAATCAATTGAATTTTATGCCATGTGCCAATCCGTCTTTATGTTTATAATGTACATGTCGATCTTTTATCATAGAAATATAATTTTCTGGATCTTAAAATATTTCATCATTTTATAGTATTATTTATTCTTATATTTAATATTTATTTGTAAATATTTATTTGTAAATTTATTTTCTAGAGCACTTTTGTTTCATTCTGTAAAAGTATCAAGTGCTGTGAGTCAGAAAATTGTCAGTTCACATCTTCCATAGTTATCTCAATAATACATATTTTTTAAATTACTAAATGAATCAAATAACGAACTTAAACAAAAATTATAAAATATAAAATATAAATTAATAAATCTAAAATAATAAACAATCCGCATCCTACAATTAACCCTCCCAGGCTGCTCTATAAATCACTGCGCGGCTCACTACACTCCAAACCCTGGTGACAAGACCGTCCTCCAATACGATGACGTCTGCAAGATAGACTTCGGGACTCATATTAATGGGAGGATTATTGACTGCGCTTGGACTGTTCACTTTAATCCAAGATACGATCCGCTGGTTAACGCTGCTAAAGCTGCTACCAATATGGGTTAGTTAGTTACTGGTTACTAGGTTACTGGTTACTAGGTTACTGGTTACTAGGTTACTGGTTACGGGCTACTGGTTACTAGGTTACTAGGTTACGGGCTACTGGTTACTAGGTTACTAGTTACTAGGTTACGGGCTACTGGTTACTAGGTTACTGGTTACTAGGTTACGGGCTACTGGTTACTAGTTTACGGGCTACTGGTTACTAGGTTAGGGGTTACTGGTTACTAGGTTACGGGCTACTGGTTACTAGTTTACTAGGTTACTAGGTTACGTGCTACTGGTTACTAGGTTACTAGTTACTAGGTTACGGGCTACTGGTTACTAGGTTACTGGTTACTAGTTTACGGGCTACTGGTTACTAGGTCAGGGGTTACTGGTTACTAGGTTACGGGCTACTGGTTACTAGGTTACTAGGTTACTGGTTACTAGGTTACTGGTTACTAGGTTAACTGGGACCCTCCTTCAAAAACTTGTATTAATCCTTATCATACTGAGCTGGGGGTGGGTTGATCCCTTGTCTGCAGCTTTCGTGGCTTAAAGTTTGTATAATAGAGCTGCCTAATTTTAACTGTTTTCCCAGGTATTAAGTGTGCCGGTATTGATGCACGACTGAATGAGATAGGTGAAGCTATTCAAGAAGTCATGGAGTCCTACGAGGTTAGTTATTAAATATTAAACTTAAATCTTCCTTAATTAACACTCTCCATGTACTTGAGCAGGATCATCAGACTTCATTCCTCGATCAGATCGATTAAAGAACCCGTCCCCAATCTCGTATTGGAAAATGGACCAACTCGATTCTAAGTTTAAATACCTGCAAGGGTATTTATTGATCATTTAAAAATACTTAAAAACAATGTTAACCCCATTGTAATATTTATACGTAGAGTGTAGACCGTAGTACAATATTAGATACGTTTAAAATACCTATTGTGACAATATTAAACACATTAAAAAACACACGTATAAATTATAATCAAGACTAATGAACATCCCCCAGGTGGAGCTGGACGGTAAGAACTACCAAGTGAAGTGTATCCGTAACCTGAACGGTCACAGTATTGAACCCTACAAGATACACGCTGGTAAAACCGTTCCCATTATAAAGGGAGGCGAGGTGAGAGTAACACGTGTTGTGTCTTGTAACCATGGTAACATAGTCACGTGTTGTGTCTTGTAACCATGGTAACATAGTCACGTGTTGTGTCTTGTAACCATGGTAACATAGTCACGTGTTGTGTCTTGTAACCATGGTAACATAGTCACGTGTTGTGTCTTGTAACCATGGTAACATAGTCACGTGTTGTGTCTTGTAACCATGGTAACATAGTCACGTGTTGTGTCTTGTAACCATGGTAACATAGTCACGTGTTGTGTCTTGTAACCATGGTAACATAGTCACGTGTTGTGTCTTGTAACCATGGTAACATAGTCACGTGTTGTGTCTTGTAACCATGGTAACATAGTCACGTGTTGTGTCTTGTAACCATGGTAACATAGTCACGTGTTGTGTCTTGTAACCATGGTAACATAGTCACGTGTTGTGTTTTGTAACCATGGTAACATAGTTGGTTTGTGCGCACTTTACGCACTTTAAAAATTTGGCGCACGAACCAACTATGGTCTTGTTTCTTTTGGAGCTTGAAGCTTTGTCGGCATTTGAAACTTTGTTATTGTCACCACTTTGAAGCTTATTTTATGAAGCCAAGAGTGAAGCTAAATAGCAATTAGCATGTTTTGAGTAATTTAAGTAATTACAAATTAATTCGTAACAATTTGTGATCATCAATTAGATAATTTAAGCATGATTTGTGGGGTTGAAATGTTACAATTTCATAGACAAGTCTATGTCGGTTGATCCGAGATTGCGTATGATGTTTACCCACGGTGATTAAACATTAAACGACAGTATCCAAGAAGTCCGACCCAGTCCGTGATGTCATATCACGTGATATGACGTCACACCACGTGATATGACGTCACACTACTACTTATGACAATGACATGATGGTATCTTGATTCTTGGATAAGTTACGACTAACATTAATTGCTAGTATATCCTTCTGATTCTAACTTTGCTCCTTCTTAATCTACCTCCTCCAAATGTAAAGGACATGCAGTTATTTAGGAGGGTTTTTAAAAAGAATAAGAAGGCTCAAGCAGCAAGCTACTGGTTACTAGGTTACTAGCTACTGGTTACTAGGTTACTAGCTACTGGTTACTAGGTTACTAGCTACTGGCTACTAGGTTACTAGGTTACTAGCTAATGGTTACTAGGTTACTGGTTACTAGTTACTGGTTACTAGTTACTGGTTACTAGTTACTGGTTACTAGTTACTGGTTACTAGTTACTGGTTACTAGGTTACTAGCTACTGGTTACTAGCTACTGGTTACTAGCTACTGGTTACTAGGTTACTAGCTACTGGTTACTAGGTTACTAGCTACTGGTTACTAGGTTACTGGTTACTAGCTACTGGTGACTAGGCTACTAGCTACTGGTTACTAGGTTACTAGCTACTGGTTACTAGGTTGCTAGCTACTGGTTACTAGCTACTGGTTACTAGGTTATATTACTGGCTACTGGTTACTAGGTTATATTACTGGCTACTGGTTACTAGGTTACAAGCATTCTTTAGTATGGAGGGCCCATTGATTTGGTTAAGTGCTAGTAAACCGTGGAGTACCATGTCAGGAACTAAAATTGGAATAGTTGTTGTCGTTGATGGAATTGGACAGATGTCGTTGATGGAATCGGGCAGATGTCGCTGTCGGACAGATGTCGTTTTACCTAGAATTGGTAATTAAATATTAATAATACTCCAAAGAAATAGAATTAGTCGTATGTACCACATTTAGTTATAAATGGTAATCGTTGACATCATTCAATTTTCAACATTACAATTAATGCTAGTTGTCACTTGCAACCAAGATACCATTATACCATAATATAATATAATAATATGTTCATGTTATTTAAAGAAGTACACAGACCAGTCCGCGTACTGGTTCGGGCTTCTTGGCTACTGGTTACTAGGTTACTAGCTACTGGTTACTAGGTTACCATTATATAATATAATATGTTCATGTTATTTAAAGAAGTACGCAGACCAGTTTGCGTACTGGTTCGGGCTTCTTGGCTACTGCCCAGTAAACAGCTCATATTAAACTGATTTAAACTACTAGGCATTCCAAATACACGGTGGTAAGACAGTTCCCGGGAGTAATAATGAGGTAGGAAGTGTAGTTCTACAAGCACGTGATATGACGTCACATCACGTGATATGACGTCACATCACGGGATATGACGTCACATCACGGGATATGACGTCACATCACAGGATATGACGTCACATCACGGGATATTTAGTCACATCACGGGATATGACGTCACATCAGTGATATTGAGTCACATCACGGGATATGACGTCACATCACGTGATATGACGTCACATCAGTGATATTGAGTCACATCAGTGATATTGAGTCACATCAGTGATATTGAGTCACATCACGGGATATGACGTCACATCACGGGATATGACGTCACATCACGGGATATGACGTCACATCACGGGATATGACAACGTCACACCACGGGATATGGCGTCACACCACGTAATATGACGTCACATCACGGGATATGACGTCACATCACGTGATATTACGTCACATCATGTGCTTGTAGAATATAGAACATGTATGTGACTTGAACAAAGATCTGCATCAAATGCCTGCCTGGGATGCACATTTAGACATTCAACGAGCTTGTATGTCTTTATAAGCAGTCTTAAATTCACTTCAATCCATGAAATTCGATCCAATTATTAACTTATGTTGCAATTAAATTGGGCGGATTGACACGAGGTAACCATGTAACCATGTAACCATGGTAACAGAATATTTGGAATGTCTAGATGCCCAAAACATGAAACATGCCCCTTTCTTGAGGGATTTCGCCTGTATAAACTTATCGTTGCTGTTCAGTATCAATGAATTATTCGGAATATTCATTATTCATTAAATGTAACCATGGTAACAACCAGGAATATTTATTGTTCATTATGTAACCATGGAGCCATGGTAACTAGGAATATTCATTATTGACATGATGACGTGTTCTTGCTAGAAAAGATACAGCAATTTTTTCAGCCGTTTTTGTCCAATTCAATTTTAAGTGTTTTTTTAAAGATTTATGATACATAAAATGAAAGAAGCAGTTTTACTTCATTTTCCACACTTTTATTTTCATGTATTTTCCCCTCTCTGTATTGCATAATGTAATGTATAATGTATTGCATGAAGTATAATGTATAATATGTAATGTTACAGTTACTCCGCATTGACTGAACGTGTAATTTGCAATGTGAACTTTTACATTAGAGCATAGCATTACCTACAGCATTCCCTGTTAAGCATAATATAAGATAATTACTATTAATTACATATATCTTAATCACTGTTAAGCATATAACTTAATTATTATAATTTATTATACTGCATGGACTTTTTAAGCATGTCGTATTTTATGCATTGAAGCTTAAAGGATGAGGGGACCTTAGAAAAAGTTTTTTTCTCGTGCAAATCCTTTTATTACATTAATCGTATAAACCACTTTAGTGAAATCCGCAAAGTTGTATTTCATTCGCGCGCCAAGATATCCAGCCAAAACAATTTGAACCTGTGACGTCAATTATGTGAGTTGCTCTGATCCGCGCATATAGAAATACAGGTAAAATGAGCGTGCGGGCCGACTAAATTACTAATTAAGAATACATTAACAATTTACGATACTAACGAGCCTATAACCAATGGAGAGGAGACTTTTTATGACCGGTTGAAAAAAGAATTATCACCCTACGATAACCATGAGCCGAGATACACCTGAAATAAGATTGAAGTCACACAGAAAGGCATGTAAATTATGTATATTTATAGCTCCCAACGTAACACCTAGCAACTCCCTGTATCGTACCACAGTTGATATATCAACATGTCATATCAACACAACACGGTCCTAATAAAAATGGATCGGGTAGGTATGAAATGCATGTCTTCATTCCAGTTGGACAAGCACCAAGCACCAAGCTTTTAAGTTCTAACTCACTATGTGACACTATTTATAACGTAAGCAAGATTTGCAACTATTACACCAAGCAATATTATACCAAGCATAGCAGACGAACACATCCACATTCGTTACGCTTTACACTCAAGTCACAGCAAACTAAAACGGTAAATTATAAATGAGTGTACAACTAAAAGTAAAGGCCGGTACACGCGCTGTGTCAAACCGCACGTGCGCACTCAGATAGGACTAGAGGCGCCAAGGGCCAGCTAGTAAAATGTATTCTACTACATCATACATTCAATCGATTTTTAGATCTTCTGTGGCGGCGCTTTTTAATTGTGTCCATATCGGGTTTCAAACAAGTCAAAACAAAATAGCAGTTTGTGGTTTAGTTAGCGGATGCTACTTATCTTAGCTATTTATAAATAGAAATACCTACTACAACTACAAGAAAGCCTTTCTGAGTTACATTTAACTATTAAAGAGAATTATTCGTAACTTAGACTTATTCAGTGCAACCAAAGATACCGCTCTCGCAAACGCCAAAGGTAACACGACGTAATTAAAACAGAACAGAACAAAATGTTGACACCAGCGAAGGGTGTGCGCGCACGTTGGTCTTAACACATAAGTGACGTCACAGCCCAAAATTGCTATCAGCCAATAGGAGCGAGGCGTGATATTGCACGAATTATCGATTACACAGTCCGGCGTATTTTTTGATTCTACACACTTTCACAGGACTTAAACGCGAATATTTGGAAGTAAATTCTAAGGTCCCCTCATCCTTTAACAAGAGTAAAGGAAGAACACTTGTACTTTGTGTAACTACTTTTATTGATTTGAACACTAATCAGAATATTCTAACATTACTTATTTCCAGCAACTTAGTTGTAATAATTGCTGGAAATTATTAAAAATATTTGCTTGATGAATCATCTTTGCGTGCTTAACTGTACCCAGTATGTAATGGTGTTGTTCAATTGCAAACTATGGTAAAAAAAGCGATTGAACGGAAAAGTTTGTTCAATTGCAACATAAACGTCTCGGGTTATTACGTCACACCACGTGATATGACGTCACACTATGTGATATGACGTCACATAAACGTCTCGGGTCCCAAGATTAGCTCCACCCTTATGTTTATTTAAGATTAATGATGCTATTGAGCACAAGGGACAAGCTATAAATGTTTGATCTGTTTCATGATGTTTCATGAGGCTAGTTTCTAATAATCAGGGCAATATTTTCTCATAATCACAACTCCCAGGCAATAAAGATGGAAGAAGGTGAGTTCTACGCAATAGAAACGTTTGGCAGCACAGGGAAAGGGCTGGTACATGATGATGTGGACTGCAGCCATTACATGAAGAACTTTGATATTGGACACGTGCCAATCAGAATTAACAGGGCTAAAGGTTTAGATTCTTGTACATATCTAGAGAACATTTTCTTGATTAACTCTGTTGACGATAATTATTATCCGTTAGTTTGAATCCCTACGGAAAATTCCTTTACTCAAAACTATCATAATATTATGGCGATCTTCTTGCAGCATGAATTTTTATCATCTCCGGAACGTTCCAAAATTAAATCCTAACAACTACCATCACCACACTAGCTACTGCAACTGGTTACTATGTTACTAGCTACTGGTTACTAGGTTACTAGCTACTGGTTACTAGGTTACTAGCTACTGGTTACTAGGTTACTAGCTACTGGTTACTGGTTACTAGCTACTGGTTACTAGGTTACTAGCTAATGGTTACTAGGTTACTAGCTACTGGTTACTAGGTTACTAGCTACTGATTACTGGTTACTAGCTACTGGTTACTAGGTTACTAGCTAATGGTTACTAGCTACTGGTTACTAGCTACTGGTTACTAGTTACTGGTTACTAGCTACTGGTTACTAGCTACTGGTTACTAGGTTACTAAGTTACTAGGTTACTAGCTACTGGTTATTAAGTTACTAGCTACTTGTTACTAGCTACTGGTTACTGGTTACTAACTACTGGTTACTAGGTTACTAGCTACTGGTTACTAGGTTACTAACAACTACTCTCCTCACAGGGCTACTGAATACGATAAACAGACAGTTCGGAACACTAGCGTTCTGTAAACGTTGGGTGGAGAGAGCGGGTGAAACAAAGTACCTGCTCGCACTCAAACACCTCTGTGATCTTGGTAAGTCAAGCTGGTTACTGGTTACTGGTTACTGGTTACTGGTGGGATGGTTACTTATCCGGTATTTTGACTCCCAGTGCTTCAATTTGGTTTCATACCATCATCAATTAACTGACTAATTGGTTTCTGGGCAAAAATTTCACCCAATCTGTCAAATTTGTGTTCAGAAAATTTCATATTTGAAAATGGGACAGAATTTTAAAAATACAACTTTTTTTTTGTTTAAGCTTTCTGCTGTGGGCTTACCGAAATAAAACTTCCAGCACCTCAATCGTGTCATATGGCATCTATAGTTGACTTACTAATTGGTTGCAGGTGAAAAAATCAGTCAAAACTGTAAAATTGCGGTCCTGGAAATCTCATCTTTAAAAACTGAAAATGGGACAGAGATTGGGACAATATGATTTTGCAATTATAAATCATAATGTTGGTGTTATTTAGTTATTATTATATATATCTCTCCTCGATACAGTTTTCAAACTTGACACTCATTTTTTGCTGTGACCCTAACACGTGACCCTAACACGTGACTCTAACACGTGACCCTAACACGTTTCCCTAACACGTGACCCTAACACATGTCCCTAACACGTGACCCTAACACATGTCCCTAACATGTGACCCTAACACGTGACTCTAACACGTGACCCTAACAGGTATAGTAAACGACTACCCACCACTAGTGGACCAGAAGGGCTGCTACACAGCTCAGATGGAGCACACTATTGTCCTCAGACCAACCTGCAAAGAGGTAATCTCCCGTGGAGAGGACTACTAGCTCCTTCATAATATTAACTGTTTACTGGAGAGGACTACTAGCGGAGTTACCGACGAGAGTAACTGGTAACTGGAGTCTCTTAAATGATACATCAGCCCGACTTTGTGCTCTGTTTTTTGTTTAGTTTTCCTCAATTTTAATATTTGAAATCATGGTTTTAGATAGAAGTGATTGTCGTAAAATTAAGATACATTCAGTGACCCTGATTAAGAGGCCGCGCTTTTTGAAATTTCGTTTTATAAGTTCCTTCAAAAGCTGGATTCACCTTAAAATTCAGGCTAAATGATTAATATCTACACTTTGATGACTGTAGTTGCAAGGAGATAATATGCACATAATTCACGATACATTTTGGAGTAACATCAGAAAGTTAGGAATGTCAGTTTTAGAGGTAGTACACAGAATTACTGTTACTAGAGGATTGTCGTTTGATACGTCATTACAATTGCTCCTTCATAATATTAACGTTTGATACGTCATTATAATAGCATATGTGTGGTCCTCTACAGTGGTGGAATTTCTTTTAAATTGTTAAACATGATTGCTTTTTAATTAACATTTTCATACTTATTTATTAACCTGATAACTTGAACGATGTTTTATTGTGAACTAACTAATAAATAAATTAAATAATTAGCAACTAACTAAGATGATGTAAAACACAATCGATTAATTTGATTTTTTGACACGTTGTCTATGTAAAATCGTACATAATATTTTTAAGTTCAAACTTTAACAGTGAAATCTTTGTAGCAGTGGATTAATTGTTATGGATAATGGCTGAAAAGGTAGTTCCGATTGATAACAGCCTCACTGATGTGTCGGGTAAGTTACTAGGTGTTACCAGGTACGGTGTTACCATGTGTTACTAGGTGTTACTAGGTGTTACTAGGCGTTACCAGGCGTTACCATGTGTTACTAGGTGTTACCATGACGTGTTACTATGCGTTACCACTTACCATGTGTTACCATGTGTTACCATGTGTTACTAAGTTTAATCACCATAACTTGCATTGAGCAGTTTGTGGTTTAAATGAATTTAGAAGAGCACAATAATTAATAATATTTGATTTTGCTTGTTTGCGCAACTCAGTGATCAAATAACTAATGTTGTTACAACGGACTTTCCTTTTTTCAGCGTCAGAGTTGCACACCTTACAGAACGCTATCAACAACGCTATCAAACCTGATGGAGTCCTCTTTGACGACCCACCTAACAAGAAGATGAAATTGTGAGTCTTTTTGTAACCACTATTCTGAAGTAGAAACAACTGCTAGTTACCATAGTAACAACCGTGAAGTGTCTCCCAAGTACATGAAAACAAAGCTGGACCAGACAAATTATTTACTATTCCGCTAAATTACTGTAAAATAAAGATTTTAAAACGTCTTCATCTCATTAAACCACGATATAAATTGCTGAGAGTCAGTTGTTCTGAGAGTCAGTTGTTCTGAAGCTGAGGGCAGTCCTTGTGCAGTTGTGCAGTAAACAAACCCTCTCTCACTGCAGTGACAAAAATTGCGCCCATCTTTAAACGCCTCCCCCACCAAGTAAACACTACTCATGTGCACACACGTCACGCCTCCCCCACCAAGTAAACATTACTCATGTGCACACACGTCACGCCTCCCCCACCAAGTATACATTACTCATGTGCACACACGTCACGCCTCCCCCACCAAGTATACATTACTCATGTGCACACACGTCACGCCTCCCCCACCAAGTATACATTACTCATGTGCACACACGTCACGCCTCCCCACCAAGTATACATTACTCATGTGCACACACGTCACGTCCGAACAAGCTTGGAACGTGCACGCTTCCTCCCCAGTTGCAAGACACGTGCAGGTGTCACAAGCTCTCCTGAATACCTCGCCTGGCTTGTAATCTATTGTACTCGCATCTAACCTTGCATGTAACTGGTGGTTCAGGGCAAGCCATAAGGGTACACGCTGCAACACCACTCTCCGTACACTCCCAACTGTTACAATCATTCCGTGCACTGTGGATATCGCCAGCCCAAGATGAAGGAATAGTTTCATCCTGGAGGGCAACGATATGGAGAACTGAACACTGGTCTTAACCAGTGTGTTCACAGTGTTCACCACTAGTCTCAGTAGCAAACTAGGCGTACTCGTCAGCAAATTTATAGACCTGCAATATATTCAGATTGTATTTCTAAACCTTACAGAAACACCTGATCTAATTCCACACCCCCCTCAGAAACACCTGATCTAATTCCACACCCCCCTTACAGAAACACCTGATCTAATTCCACACCCCCCTTACAGAAACACCTGATCTAATTCCACACCCCCCTTACAGAAACACCTGATCTAATTCCACACCCCCCTTACAGAAACACCTGATCTAATTCCACACCCCCCTTACAGAAACACCTGATCTAATTCCACACCCCCCTTACAGAAACACCTGATCTAATTCCACACCCCCCTTACAGAAACACCTGATCTAATTCCACACCCCCCTTACAGAAACACCTGATCTAATTCCACACCCCCCTTACAGAAACACCTGATCTAATTCCACACCCCCCTTACAGAAACACCTGATCTAATTCCACACCCCCCTTACAGAAACACCTGATCTAATTCCACACCCCCCTTACAGAAACACCTGATCTAATTCCACACCCCCCTTACAGAAACACCTGATCTAATTCCACACCCCCCTTACAGAAACACCTGATCTAATTCCACACCCCCCTCAGAAACACCTGATCTAATTCCACACCCCCCTTACAGAAACACCTGATCTAATTCCACACCCCCCTTACAGAAACACCTGATCTAATTCCACACCCCCCTTACAGAAACACCTGATCCCCTTACAGAAACACCTGATCTAATTCCACACCCCCCTCAGAAACACCTGATCTAATTCCACACCCCCCTTACAGAAACACCTGATCTAATTCCACACCCCCCTTACAGAAACACCTGATCTAATTCCACACCCCCCTTACAGAAACACCTGATCTAATTCCACACCCCCCTCAGAAACACCTGATCTAATTGCACACCCCCCTTACAGAAACACCTGATCTAATTCCACACCCCCCTCAGAAACACCTGATCTAATTCCACACCCCCCTTACAGAAACACCTGATCTAATTGCACACCCCCCCCCCTCAGAAACACCTGATCTAATTCCACACCCCCCCTCAGCTCCTCCAACGAAGATGACACTGACTCGCTCCTAGAGGGAGCTGACGGTAAACCCTCTGGTAAAGTATCTCACAATGCGATAGAGAAGAGGAGAAGAGACAAGATGAACATGTACATTGACGAGCTGGCAGCTATGGTACCCATGTGCTCCGTTGTTTCAAGGTTAGTCAAACGAGGGGATTTAGGGGCAATATACATGCTGGTTACCATGGTTACATGCTGAATTGCTGGATATATTGTCCTTTCTAGTAGTCAGGGTAAGTTGTGAGCTTGAGTCGTGCAGATAAAGAAATTCGCTTAATTTAATGCGCATGGCTCACACGACTTAGATATAAAATACACTGTGCACGCTGCACTGTGCACAGTGCACACCAATACTGTGCACACTGCACTGTGCACAGTGCACACCAATACTGTGCACACTGCACTGTGCACGGTGCACACCAATACTGTGCACACTGCACTGTGCACAGTGTACACCAATACTTTGTACAGTGCACACCAATACTGTGCACGCTGCACTGTGCACTGTGCACACCAATACTGTGCACTGTGCACGGTGCACACCAATACTGTACACACTGCACTGTGCACTGTGCACACCAATACTGTCCACAGTGCACACCAATGCAATACTGTGCACGCTGCACTGTGCACAGTGCACACCAATGCTATGCACGCTGCACTGTGCACAGTGCACACCAATACTGTGCACGCTGCATTGTGCACAGTGTACACCAATACTGTGCACGCTGCACTGTGCACACCAATTATACGGTAAGGAACATTTTTCTAGTAACCACGATGAACCAGATACCAATGTGGGATTGACCAAGGCAGGAATGTTGTCTTCCTCTTCTCCGAATCAGTTAGTCTAAATTGAAGATTTTAAAGTTCAAACATTAAAATTTCTGCCAAAATTGATCTGACAAAATACATAAATTCGGAGATTATTTTAGGGCCAAATAATTGCACAGCTTAATAAGCGCGCATAGTGTGAAACCTGAAGTTGAACTTGCCATTTGAACTTTGTTTCATTTGTTCTATAATTTGCTCCTTGACATCAAGTTGAGCACTGTAGTGCAGATAAAGGAGATAAATAAGATATAACCATATTACATAACTTTATATGCACGACTGGAGTAACACTGGTTAGAAATTTTAATTTAATTCATTAACTAATAGCTCAATAATCATTAATTAGTCCAATTTAAACTAAAAGGGTTGGTGACCACTCGTTACTATGGTAACTAGCACTCGTTCCTTCAGACGACCGGACAAGCTAACCATTCTGAAGATGGCTGTGAGACACCTCAAAGCGCTGAGATATGCTAATGGGGGAGGCCACAAGAACCAATTGAGACCTACCTTTCTTACTGTAAGTTATTTATATTATTATATACATATATAATATATTATGATGTTTCTTTTGAAGAAATCCAGTTTCACGAGTGCTCTACCCGGGAGGGGAGCATTGTACAATGAAAACAACGATTCTACAAACTCAAAGTTTCATGCAAATGCAATCATCAGTGTCAGAATAACTTACTAAATTACTAAATCCATATTTTCCTTACAAGCTCTTGAATTATATCCGTAATTGGATATAAAATAATATATTAATATTATATCATCTCTTTCGGGTGATTTCTTCTGAAACAAAAGTATTTTTTATAACTATCTTTTCAAAACATTGAGCAACTATTTCACTCAAAGAACTCATAAGCTTCTGTATAATACATCTAGAAAGAGTAATCAGAGATTGTATTTACTGTTTCTATCGTTGTAATAATGAAGCCAACAAACGTCAGCTAAAACCCACGTGTTACTTTTCAACGTGCGTGGTACTTAAATACGCGTTACTTTTATTTGTCGAGCTGGTAAAATTCGGCGTATTATCAAAGTTATTGTGCATTGTAATTTTACCTACTCCAACCTGGCGAGGAGCTACAGATTTACAATGAGTTGCAGAGAGAGAGAGAGAGAGAGAGAGAGAGAGAGAGAGAGAGAGAGAGAGAGAGAGAGAGAGAGAGAGAGAGAGAGAGAGAGAGAGAGAGAGAGAGAGAGAGAGAGAGAGAGAGAGAGAGAGAGAGAGAGAGAGAGAGAGAGAGAGAGAGAGAGAGAGAGAGAGAGAGAGAGAGAGAGAGAGAGAGAGAGAGAGAGAGAGAGAGAGAGAGAAAGGAGAGAGGGAGGGAGGGAGGGAGAGCATCTGACATAGTTCAGCTGTATGTACAGTGACTTTTGGCCCACCCTGTAGTTCAGCTGTATGTACGCGTCTGGTATTCTGATTAGCTGCCAGAATGTATGCATATTTGTAATAAGTGGCATAAGTTAAATTTATGAAGGAGTAAGTGGCATACACTGTGGAGAGTGTTGATGTAAATTTGTAATTATATGTGATATGCTGTAGAATGTATGATTTATATGTGCTGTGTATTATATGTAGATGTATGATTTTACAATCTCTTCTGAGATGCAAATTGCAAGCTTTGGATATTTTACAAGTATCTATATCTTGTAATCCTATGACATCTTGCAATCCGGAAATAACAAGCTACATTTTATAACGCCTCCACCTGGTACTGTAAAACCATTTATTTACCACGCTTAAATTTACCACGCCCAAATTTACCGCGAACTTTGGAACTTTGAAAGGTAAACCATGAACTATTAATTATTCTGCTACTCCCTTCCTATTAGTAACTCCCTGGTAACACTTGGTAACACCTGGTAACACCTGGTAACACTCAGGATGAAGAACTGAAGCACCTTATTCTAGAGGCTGAGGACGGGTTCTTGTTTATAGTTAGCTGTGAGAATCAGAGAATATTGTACGCAAGCAACAGTGTTAGTCACGTTCTCAATCACACCAAGGTTAGTGTGGTTTAACAGTGTTAGTCACGTGCTCAACCACAACTAGGTTAGTGTAGTTTAACAGTGTTAGTCACGTTCTCAACCACACCAAGGTTAGTGTTGTTTAACAGTGTTAGTCACGTGCTCAACCACACCAAGGTTAGTGCAGTGTGGTTTAACAGTGTTAGTCACGTGCTCAACCACAACTAGGTTAGTGTAGTTTAACAGTGTTAGTCACGTGCTCAACCACACCAAGGTTAGTGTGGTTTAACAGTGTTAGTCACGTGCTCAACCACAACTAGGTTAGTGTGGTTTAACAGTGTTAGTCACGTGCTCAACCACACCAAGGTTAGTGTGGTTTAACAGTGTTAGTCACGTTCTCAACCACACCAAGGTTAGTGTGGTTTAACAGTGTTAGTCGCGTGCTCAACCACACCTAGGTTAGTTTATTTTGTTCTATTCGTTACTTTTGTTTGTTACTTTTGTCCCCTTGGCTATTTTGTTGTTATCTTGCAATTTTAACCATAGAAAAATTGTTTAATTCACAAACTGATCTACTAATTACTAATTACTAAATTCTGTACCTATAACCCAATTAACAAACTAATTCCCATCAGGAGGACCTATGTGAGCTAGGGTTCCTGGATATCATACACCCGTGTGACCAGGAGTTGGTGAAGGAGCAGCTGCTGGTCACTGACTGTGACCACACTGCAGGGGAGAAGAAGAGTACTGCTGCAGACTTCAACATGGTCAGTGTGGGTACTGGATATTCCACGTGATATGTGATATAGATAGTGACGTCATAACTTATAGTTAGCGGTATGATGACGTCATGGTGACGTCATAACTTATAGTTAGCGGTATGATGACGTCATAGTGACGTCATAACTTACTAGTACTTACTTTAGAGTGCTAGGATTTCCAATTCCTCATTGTGGCAAACATTTTATGATTTGTTTTGCAATCAGCGGAGAAATGTTAAAGTGAATGGTATTATGATTTGTTTTGCAATCAGCGGAGAAATGTTAAAGTGAATGGTATTGTCCCTAGTTCTGGTTATACCGTCATTGTTTTGTAAGGTTTTGATATTCTACACTACTAGTGTACTACTAAACTATACATTATGATAGTTGACAGGGATACCCCTATATGTTGACAGCTTCACCTGTAGTAGTAGTAGTAGTAGTAGTTCACCTGTCATGCCACCAACGTATAAACTGCCACAAACTGCCACGTAATAAATAGCAATTACAGTGAGCAATCCTCTGAAATTACGGTCCGATCGATATTTATGCCTTTTCTATTTCTTCTTCTCCTGATGAATTCAGCACTAGGTGAACCTTTTTTGGTAAAAATTAATGCGATTGTCACACACGATAGATATAGGGAACCCAGAATTTAGTATTTGCGTCACGTCCCGTTTTTATAGCGTACTGTCCCCCGTACCAGCTTTATAGTACCAGCTTTATAGCCCCCCGGCCCCCTCCCCGTACCAGCTTTATCACAGACTATTAGTTCTGGGTCTTATATATCGACAGTTTCTCCATCTCTGTTTGAGGATGTTTGGGATTAAATAAATAACTAATGATTTCACAATATCCACCAGATATTGTTAGTAATTAATAATCAATTAATTTACAGTAACTAATCGATAATCAATAACACACTTTCTCTATCAGATTTCAGGGTCTCGTCGTTCTTTCTTCTGCCGTATGAGACACGGAAAACGAGGTCCTGACGGTCAAACAATTGAAGATAAGAAGAAGAACGCGACAGCTTATACAATAGTGCACGTGACTGGGTTAGTAGGGGGTTTCTGGGGTTATTTTAATATTTAATGGTAATCAGAACTACTAACTTAATATCAAATCATGATAACGAATAAGTGAATATACCAGCTAATTGTTCATATCGCAGGTATCTGAAGAACTGGGATGTTGATACTTTCTCCATGTCCGAGGATCTCATCAAATACAGGTTAGACTTTGGCTTTTACTCAAACTTTCAGAAAATCAATGAATTGCAGATTGATTAACCGAATTATATGAGCCAATTAATTAAGTTATTGAATTGTTTCAATTTTGACTAACCTATTTCCACTTCAGTGGTGATGAGTCTGAAGAGGAGCTAGGAGATTTTACCTGTTTGGTTGCTGTAGGGCGGGTTCTACAAGTCCCTGTCAAAAGCTTGAAACAACCGAACGTTTTTAATTGGAGGTGATTATTAGTAGATTGTTTCACGGAGATTTTTATAGATTTTTATAATTAATCGTTAATTAATCGTTAATTACAAGCTGTTAGCGGGTTTGTTCTCACAGAAAAAGAAATCATGCGTGAGATAATAATTTAAAATTAGTTGATTATCTGATTTATACCAGTCAAAGTATGTAAGTATGTAAGTATAAGCTTAAGTAGCTTAAGTGTGTAAAAGTTAATAAAGTAATGTTAAAAGGTAGCCCAGCTGAAGCAACAGCTAGTAAACCGCTCTTAATTTACTGAATCCATATAATTTAATTAAGTGATACATACTGTGTGTCAGGTTGCGTATCAAATACATTTTGTATCACTTAATTAATAAATTACTGTAAGATATTTCTTAACATAACTTTGTGTCCGAGTATACATCAGTGGCTTAGTATTATTGCGATTAGTTTGAAGTACATTGCACAAACAGTCCATAAATAATGCACAAACAGTCCATAAATAATGCACAAACAGTCCATAAATAATGCATAAATATTGCAAAAAGAGCGCATAACTGATTCATAAATTATGCTCAATCGTGGAGCCAAGTTGTGACTGTAGAAATTTAAACACAAAATTTGGCAAATATTACAAAACATGTTGACCGGGTTTTGGTAACTATGTTTTTAAGTTTCTACCCTCATTAGCTTTTAAATACTTAATAGTAATACAGCATAACATTAACTCTTGCCGTACAAGGATTACTATTGTGGGATAGATATAACATCAATTACAAACTTTGACAGGAATACAATTAACATAATATGTTAATGTTATGTATAATCATATTATGCAAATACCGCTCCGGCAGTAAAACTATAGCTCTATAGAGTGTAATGTTATCCGTTCTCTTTGCTTTGATGTGCAAATTGAAATTATACAGCTAATCCTGTATTATACAAGCTTGTACAAAAGTAACTGTAGAAACCACAGCAATCAGAGGAGTAATATTTCTAAACTTATTGTAGATTAGCTTACTTGTTGGGACAATAGTACCTCAAGGGCCAAAGCAATAAAATATGAATACACTTAATCAACACAAATTAAGTTAAACTTTGTCCGAGGTTTGCTCCATTAAAATAAGTTTTAAAATATCCCATAACAGCATGCTCTCTCCCCCCAGGTTGACGATGGATGACAAGTTTCTGTTTGTAGACCCCCGAACTACCGCCGTATTGGAGTACTTGCCACACGAGCTGATCGGAACTAGTATCTACAAGTTCTACCACCCTAGCGACCTGTCTAAACTGACTGATGTGAGTAATGCTGTCATTAGTTAATTAGGTAATTAGTTGGTGGTCGTGATGGTGTGTTTTAACTGAAACTACAAGGAAATATTATTACCTTACTCGGGAATATTATGACTGGGATAAAGTGGTGGGTTTTGGAAAATTCCGCCATATTTTTCCCGGTCATTAATTTTCCCAGTCATAAATTAACCCGCTATAATGTTCCCGAGTAAGGTAAACTAATAGTAATACATTTTGATGCTTGGTGGGTTTTGGAAAATTCCGCCATATTTTTCCCGGTCATTAATTTTCCCAGTCATAAATTAACCCGCTATAATATTCCCGAGTAAGGTATTAGACTTTCAAAAATCATTATTTGAGATTTTTGTTATATCTTTTAGAACGTTGTGAGAAATGGACATGCTGGAATAATCATATGATTTGAAAATAGTGCTCTGCCAGGACACAATCGTCGGGACAAAAATATTATATGTATCCTAAATGAAACACAAGGAAATTATTTTGTGCATAGAATTTATCCTCCAATGTACAATTATCCTGTACCTAAAACGTAATGAACCTTTACGGTATCTGACATTAATATTTGCGCATGTTCCTTCTGTAAAGTCGGAACTTCTTTGACTGTTAACATTATTTCAAGTTTTAACTTCATTAGTGTGACTAATTGATTGCTAAATTTTGTAGTGGCCTATGACGTGTTGCGTGTCTTTAAAAGTTAAATTAAATAACCTTTTAAACAAACGTGGGATATCGACCAATTTATCTTGATTCAGTTTTAGAACAAAGATAAACATCAAAGCAAATTCCATGTAACCTAAGTGAAACACAAGAAAATATTCTTTTAATACATGTATGTATCGTTCTTCAATAAACAAGTTTTACAAGTGTTGAACAATTCTTACAAGTGTTGTTTACAATCTTTACCAAGTCCCCTCTGTTGGGACTTTTCAACACTAGGAAAGAAAACCATTATATAATAGTAGGGTGTTGCCTTTTCCCAGCTATTTGTAGCCTTGCTTGACGTCTTATTTTACAGTTTAATTAGTGGAATTTAAACCATTACAGATCGTCTGCTCTTAACTTGATGGTAAACTAACCGTGTTCTGAGTCCAAGCTTTAGTAGTAGATTAATTTTAAAGTAGAACTTATCAATTCAGTGTGGATTTTAACACTGGGTGTATAGTAACCATGGTAACTATGGTAACTAGTAGTGTAACCATGGTAACAAGTGTTTTTGAAAGTAAAATTAAATAACCTTAAACGTGGGATCTCGACCAATTTATCTTGATTCAGTTTTAAACAAAGATAAACATCAAAACAAATTCCATGTAACCTAAGTGAAACACAAGAAAATTTTCTTTTAATGTGTATGTATCGTTCTTCGATGGACACCCTAAACTTGAACAATTCTTAAAACACACAAATATTGTTTTAAAATCTTTACCCAAGTCCCATCAATTGGGACTTTTCGACACTAGGAAAGAAGACCATTATATAATAGTAGGGTGTTGCCTTGCCCCAGCTATTTGTAGCCTTGCTTGATGTCTTATTTTGCAGTTTAATTAGTGGAATTGAAACCATTACAGATCGTCTGCTCTTAACTTGATGGTAAACTAACCGTGTTCGGACTCCAAGCTTTAGTAGTAGATTAATTTTAAAGTAGAACTTATCAATTCAGTGTGGAGTTTAACACTGGGTGTATAGTAACCATGGTAACACTACTAGTTACCATAGTAATTCAGTGTGGATGTTAAAACTGGGTGTATAGTAACCATGGTAACACTACTAGTTACCATAGTAATTCAGTGTGGATGTTAAAACTGGGTGTATAGTAACCATGGTAACACTACTAGTTACCATAGTAATTCAGTGTGGATGTTAACACTGGGTGTATAGTAACCATGGTAACACTACTAGTTACCATAGTAATTCAGTGTGGATGTTAAAACTGGGTGTATAGTAACCATTTTTTTGTTGGGGACCGGCCCGAAGTACCAGCCAATGTTTACTCAAAAAATAATATATATAATAAGTGTTATCAATTCAAACTCAAAACTCATACAAGATTAGATCTCATTAAAACGAATAAAATGTATATAATAGAGCTTGTCGAAACAAAACATAGCTGAGCACATATAAAGTTGCCTTTAGTTGAAATTATCATATTAATATGCTTTTAGAGTTGTTAGAGTGGAAACAGGCGCATAGCTACTGCTAGCTAGCTATTCCAAAATTTTTAAAAATTTAACGACTGTTATCAGTCGCATAGCGTCATGCCGTTTTTGCTGGCGAATTGATGGCAGTGTAACTGAGATGGTATGCAGTGAAATTGATTCTGTGATGGCGTGCTTATGGGACAGAGTTATTATTAGCATTACGGTTGATGTTGCGCTCTGATTTCCTTAGTCCCGTTATATTGTATAACATAAAGTTAGGCCATTCGTCTGCAATGCCCTCGTTTTGTTGATCAATGAGCATGTTTTTTATGCACCTTTTGTAGATGTTAAGGTTGAATAGACTTGGCAAGGAAGTTGCTGCGACACTATATCTGTTTTTTGCTAATAGTGGACCTTTGTAGAATACTGAATTATTGTAAGGGTGTTTACCGTATTCATCTGACCATAAAGTTGTAAGACTCGAATCCGGATCGGCGACGTTAAATATTGGTGCACTGTTAGGTATTGTTTTCTTTATAGAGGGAGGCACTAGACTTGGGAAGTTTTTTAGCTTATGTATAAAAACTAATGCGTTCTTCACGATGATACTTTGAACTGTCAATATTTTGTGTACATAGAAACCAGACTTGGTACTTGCTGGTGGTGTACCATCTTTGTACCAGTAATTAACAAAACCTGGTAGTATTGCTCTAAGACCCATTTTCTGTTTAACAAATAGTGTTTCTATATGGGATTTGGCAGCAAAACCCCAGACGAGGGAGCAGTAATTAAGGTGAGACTGCACAAAGCTGTGATATATTTGTAAACGTGCTTCCAGAGGCAAATATTTTTTAAGTTTGTACATGACTCCAATGTATCTGGCCATTTTCATTTTCATGGCAGAAATATGTTGCGACCAGTTCAGTTTGTTATCTATTATAACACCTAAGAAACGGGCTTCTGTTTTTCTTTCGATTGTGACACCAGAAATTACTACATCGCGATAAATGAGGTTTCTTTGCCGAGAAAAGATCATATAATTCGTTTTTTTTAAGATTTAGAGCTAATCCGTTGTTATCTACCCATTTAACTAAGACATCGCTAAGAATTTTGAGCTTATCATAAACCTCGTTTATATTTTCTCCTGTTAGGAAAATGTTTGCATCATCTGCGTACATGATGAAATTAGCTATTTCTGATATTTGAGGAAGATCGTTTATGTAGATTATAAAAAGGAGAGGTCCCAAAATTGAACCTTGGGGTACACCGTAAATAATTGGATTGGCTGAGGATTCAGAGGATCCAATTGATACAAACTGGTTTCTGTTCATAAGATATGATTTAAACCAGTTTAAAGTTAGACCTCTTATGCCATAGTGCTCGAGCTTATTCAGGAGTATGGAGTGATCCACAAGGTCAAAGGCTTTGCTAAAGTCAATCAAGAGGAGCAAAGTAACTTGCTTTTTAGACATTGAATTGAGGATTCTGTCTTTAGCATTAAGAAGTGCATGTTCACAAGACCTACCTGGGCGGAAGCCGTATTGATTTTCACAAAGTATATTGTAGGTATCCAAGAAATTTATGACTCGATTGTGCATAAGCTTTTCGTAGACTTTTGAGAAAGTGGCAAGTAGAGATATCGGTCTGTAATTTTTGATGTCAGTTTTAGATCCACCTTTATGTACAGGAACTACTTTTGCCGTTTTCAAGGCTTGGGGAAAGACCCCTTGTTCGAACGAGCTGTTAACAACGTGGGCCAATACAGTGGTAAAATTATGACAGCTGTTGGCAATTTTGAGTGGTTGGATTTTGGTGTCAAGAGTAGCTTTATTCTTAAATAGGTTAATAACGTCTTGAACTTCGGTAGTTGTGACTGGTTTTATGTAGATACTATTTGGAGAAGGGTTACGTAGTGTCCCCTGGGCCCCACCAGGATCGAAAGTGGTCCTACTACTAATTTCAGATTTAATTTTTGGAGCGATGTTTGAGAAGTGATCATTAAATTTTTCTGCTACTGCTGCCGGAGTGCTGACTTGTCCGTTTTCGTCCGACAGTTTTATCGATGTAGGTTTGGCTGGTTTCCTATTCAGAAGTCCGTTAATCATCTGCCACTGCTTCTTAGAATTATCTTTGTGTTGTTCAAAGAATTTTTTGTAGTGTATGTTTTTGGCTTTGTCAACGTGTTTGGTGCAAAACTTTTTCAAACGGTCATATTTTAGCTGGTTCCTATCAACTGGTTCCTTAACAAAATCATGATATGCCTGATTTTTACGTTCTATACCATGGTAACACTACTAGTTACCATAGTAATTCAGTGTGGATGTTAACACTGGGTGTATAGTAACCATGGTAACACTACTAGTTACCATAGTAATTCAGTGTGGATGTTAACACTGGGTGTATAGTAACCATGGTAACTATGGTAACTAGTAGTGTAACCATGGTAACAAGTGTATTTCAGGCTCATCAGAAAGTAAAGTCAGGAGACTGTAAAGTAATGTACAGGTTCAGAACCAAATCAGGGAGATGGGTGTGGCTTCATGGCAGTTTCCAGGTACACAGAGTGTTATCTAAATTATCATTAGTTTATTTCCAGGTACACAGAGTGTTATCTAAATTATCATTAGTTTATTTTTAGGCAACACGTTTTGTATCTATATTATACGAGTGTGAAATTATGTGCATCTAATATAATATTTTCAGAACAAATTAATACACTTTTAGTTCGTTCTCATAATACGGTTCTTACTTTTCCAAGGGATTCAACAATCCATTCTCTGGTCAACTCCAGTACATCATCTGCAACAACATTGCTGTGCTGGATAATAACGAGCTGGATGAAAAAGGTGGGTGTTTTTCCTGTTTATTTATCATTACAGTAACCACAGTGACTGCTGCATTTTAGTTTTCATAATAAATCCGACTGTTCGATATTCGGTGATGTTATATTATTGCTAATATCACTCCTGCACATTTCAGGTCGCACTGAGGCGGGTTTGAGCAAGGTGGAACTAAGCAAACCAAAGTTGAGTACAGACATTGGTCACATGATAACTTCGTCACAGATAGTACAGGTGAGTTAATTAGGGCACGTGATCACTAACTTGGTCACATGGTCATTGGTCACTAACTGAGTCACTTACTCAAGCATTGCAGCATTACCAAGGCGACTGTAAACAAAATACTTATTGTCAAAATCTTTATTTTTAACTTTAGTTCAAGTTACATTAATATAATATATTTAAATCATATGATATTGTTATTATCTTAACAGTTACAATTGTAACTTAAGATTTTAAATTCGTATTCCTTACTTGGTCACGTGGTCACTCCATCAAACACGTGTTGTAAACCATAGAGCACATTTTCAAGTGTTTCCAAAATTCCACATTATGTAATTGTAAATTGTAAGATATGTAAACTTTTGTAAACTATGTAAAATTTAAGGTATTTAAACTATGTTAAACTGAATAAAAAGTAAAATATGTAAATTATGTAAAATGTAAGGTATTTAAACTATGTTAAACTAAATAAAAAGTAAAGCGTGTAAACTATGTAAGGTATTTAAACTATGTTAAACTAAATAAAAAGTAAAGTATGTGAACTATGTAAAAGCTAAACTCCCTCTCTTCACCAGCACACAACCCAAGCAGACCCAACCCAACAACAAGCTCCCCAACACGGCCTGCCCCAACCTATGGACAGTTCCCGCTCCTCCCATCCCCAGAGTATTCTGGACAACATCCCGGACTCTCAGACCCTCCACCCAGGCATGGCTGACATTAACAGACCCACTAATATTGCAGTTGTTACTCCTAATGTTGAACTTTGCAGCTCCGGGTTAGTGACATTTGTTTATTTTTTATGATGAAATTGTATATTTATAATTATATTATTATAAAAACTAGCATTATTATTGTTTTTTAATGACTGATGAATGATTCAGACGATTCATCAGATGAATCGTCTGTCTACCTACATTGGCTCATACCAACTATCAGTTTCTTATATTTATAAACATTGAATTATCATGTTAACACGGATGATGTGATCACGTGATTTAACACGTGACTTCACTCAGAAGATTACAGACAAAGCTACACCTGGACCCCATTACCCGGATGGAAGTAGATACTCCCTTCACAATCCCACCCCAGCATTCCCAACCTCAGCAACTCTCCCAGCCTCAACCACAACACTTACAAGTTCAGCCACCCCAACAACAACACTCTCAGCATTCTCAGCAGATACAGCAACAACAACAGCAGCAGGTGCAGCAGCCTCAGGTGCAGCAGCAACAGCAGCAGCCGCAGCAATCACAACAGAATAGGTAAGTTTGGTGTTTCAACCTGAGGAAAAGGTCAAATAATCAAAATGTTGAACTTTGGTTCGTAATATTTGCTCTGACGTTGATTTTATGACGTCATCAATGTTGTGACGTCATCACCCACCAGGTTCCGAACTCAGCAGACAGTCCAACACCAGCCCCAACACCACCAGTACAACATACAACAGATACAACAAGACCCGTATACCTCCGATATGCAGGGTATGCCAAATATGCGATATTTCCAGTAATGTATAGTATTAGAACTATGTATAGTACGGGTGTATGCCTCCCATAAAAAAGCGCCTCCCAGAATGTATATGTTTACTTTTTGACTTCTGATTTCTGCATCAAATACTTATTGCTTCTGATTATCACTTCATATTACTCGAAAATGTTCATTACGTTCTTCCCGAAAGGTTTAAAAAGTGTAATTCATTACATGTGCGCACAATTCAACCCAAGATAGTGTCTCCATAAAATATATTGTGTACAAGATAGTGTCTCCAATATATTGTGTACAAGATAGTGTCTCCAATATATTGTGTACAAGATAGTGTCTCCAATATATTGTGTACAAGATAGTGTCTCCATAAAATATATTGTGAACAAGATAGTGTCTCCAATATATTGTGTACAAGATAGTGTCTCCAATATATTGTGTACAAGATAGTGTCTCCAAATTCCAATATATTGTGTACAAGATAGTGTCTCCAATATATTGTGTACAAGATAGTGTCTCCAATATATTGTGTACAAGATAGTGTCTCCAATATATTGTGTACAAGATAGTGTCTCCATAAAATATATTGTGTACAAGATAGTGTCTCCAATATATTGTGTACAAGATAGTGTCTCCAATATATTGTGTACAAGATAGTGTCTCCAATATATTGTGTACAAGATAGTGTCTCCAATATATTGTGTACAAGATAGTGTCTCCATAAAATATATTGTGTACAAGATAGTGTCTCCAATATATTGTGTACAAGATAGTGTCTCCAATATATTGTGTACAAGATAGTGTCTCCAATATATTGTGTACAAGATAGTGTCTCCAATATATTGTGTACAAGATAGTGTCTCCAATATATTGTGTACAAGATAGTGTCTCCCATATATTGTGTACAAGATAGTGTCTCCAATATATTGTGTACAAGATAGATTTATTAAATTACTTTTCAACACCCGCGACGGTAAGCTGTTAAATGTGTCAATTCCTTAATTGGCGAGGAAAGGAAACTCCGTTTTTGACACGATGTAGCGGTTCTATCGCATCTCATTGGCTGGATGGAGTGTTAGCTGTGAAATTGTGTGGAAGCGAGGGTCTCCCTTTTAAGCTGTTGAAACGTCAATTAAATTTCATTTTCCAGCTAGTTTAGCCAACAATAAACAAATTTGTAATTTTAACTTACCAAGGGAATGGGGTAACCGCCCCGGTTTTTCAACGAACTCCATACAAAAATTCTCGGAGAAGCATTTTATTATGCTATGTGAACTTCATAGGCTTCACTTTCAGGCACCAAGGAGCTCATTTATAAGTCTCACGGACCTTCCAATTTAACCTCATATCATTTAAACCACGGCACTGACGATAAAAGCCTATTTCCTAAACATAACATTCCTTTCAGGACAATTCAACCTTGTCCAAGGAATGCAGCAGCAACCCTACTCCTCCGCTCAACATCTCAACATTGCTGAGATTGGAACTCTAAAGACGGAGACTAAAAGTAGAATGCTAACTCCAACTAGCTCCTCCCACAATTCCCTTGTACCTGGCCCTGGTCCGATATTTTACAGTATATTTCCCGCATTTTACACGTTTTTGTTCATTTTTTGACGAATTGCCCGAATAAAATTCCTGTTGAAGTTCGTTATTAACTTATTCTCTTAACAGGCGTGGCTGGAATGTTGAACTTGCAGCATCAGCAAACTCAACAACAGCAGCAGCAGCAGCCTCAACAACAACAACAACAACAGCAGCAACAACAGCAGCAGCAGCAGCAACAACAACAACAACAACAGCAACAACAACAACAACAACAACAGCAACAGCAACAGCCCCAACAACAGCAACAGCTCAGCAACCCTCAGCAATACAACCCCCAAACACCCCAACAAGTAAAACAACTCGCATATCTTCCTCAGGTGGGTGTAATATCGTATGCCCATCATTTAAATAGACTTGACTACTAGTGGGGAGCTATGTTTGTTTTGACACGTGACAGTTATTACCCGATGCTGATTGGCTAATCGCTATCATGTGTCAGGAGCAATAAAACTTACTACCTCCACACTGTAGTAAGTTTTATTATATGCTATTATTTAACGCTTTAAATCAAAGATAAGAAAATACTGTGTAGAGTATTTTCTTCTTCTTGATTAAGAGTGCTTGTAATTTTGAACCAAATTAATTATTTATCAATTTATTAAAGGACTCATTTCAGCTACCGAACGTGCACAACATCCGCACGAAGGAGCAATACGAACAAGCGAGGCTGTACAACGAACGAGAACGCCAACTACTGCAGGAGTATGAGCAGTATTTGAAGAAAACGAAGTGGGATAATTGAGAGTTAATCACTTAATTGAGTGACAATTAGTGAGATTATGATTGATCTCTGTTGGTTGTTGCTGTCACATTACAAATTTCCGCTCTGACTGTCAAGATGATTAAAAGGACCCAATTAAGGACAATCGGTAAAGACCAAAATCAGCTTCTCTGTTATACACACATATTTTAGGCAATATTGCGATGACCTGTGTTTGATTTACTGAAACATTCTTACAGACTTAAATCTTACAGCATAGTTTACTGAAAAGTACATGGACCGACTGGAAATTGTACTTACAAATCTATTATGTTACATACTGCTACTAGTAATTATATCATTATGTAATATAATCTCAATAGTTAATAATCATCGCACACTTATAACACTACTAATACTTATAACACAGATTAATTTTGCTGCCTATATTTATAAAGGAATACGCATGGTAACTTTACAGAGTGGACCAGAAGTGACTTAACATATTACAGTAAATTCTGGTCTAACCCTGCTCCCATATGTAATATGTATGCATGGTCTACATATGGCATTGCTTGGAATAACATTTAAATTTTAGTTGTGATTTTCAAGATAATTTTAAAACTGTTTTTGTGGCTGTTTCTGTCTCTTGCCTTGTTATTTTTGTACAAGCTTGTTGTCCAAGCGTTCTGACGATACTGTAACACTACTGTAACACTACTGTAACAGGGTAGCACCCTGTAACACTACTGTATCACTATAACGAAAAAAAGTTCACTTGCGTGTCAAATGTCAAGTTGACCGACTTTAAGTTTAAAACCTCGGATACCACTCTCAAGGACGTTGTGTAAACTTAATTACATTACAATGAATGTATAACATTGCAATGAGAAGACACGTGTGTGTGACCACGTGACTATGAGAAGACACGTGTGTGTGACCACGTGACTATGAGAAGACACGTGTGTGACCACGTGACTATGAGAAGACACGTGTGTGTGACCACGTGACTATGAGAAGACACGTGTGTGTGACCACGTGACTATGAGAAGACACGTGTGTGACCACGTGACTATGAGAAGACACGTGTGTGACCACGTGACTATGAGAAGACACGTGTGTGTGACCACGTGACTATTCATTGCAATGTTATTGCGTTGTAATGTTGTTATGTTATTGCGTTGTAATGTAATGTATTGGGGTTTATGCACCTTGTTATTTCTATGTGGGAGACATTACACACAGCTTTCAATTACACACCGCCTAGCTTTATGTTTGGGATGGTCCACATATTATTACGTAAGCCAGAATGGGGGGAAGCTTAGTGTTATTATTATAAAAGTGGATTATGGAATGAAAGGCCGGGAGGGGGTATAAAATTGCAAAATCTAACTACGAAATATGTGAACTATCCCAACTATAACAGAGGCCAGCTTCAAATAGTTTCATTATACGTAAAACACAGTGTTAAAATATATGGTTTAGATTTGGGGTAGATTCTGTTTTGATACAGGTAAATGAAATATTTTCATACTATTCTGCATACTTAAATGATTCGCAATCTGTAAATGATTCACAGTCAATTATATTACATACTGTAAGACGTGTAGAAAGTGATAGCTATTCGAGAAGAACGATATTATAACGTGTTTTAAACATAGAATGTAAAGAATTTTAAAAGGTTGATAATTTATTGCTACTGTTAGATTTTATCCAAACATGATGAGCAGTGACTGCTCATTGAGCACGCGTGTCTCTTTTGGCAGTGCCGACTGATTTTGTAAAATATTTATAGATTATGATATCGAATGATTGAATCTCAAGAAGGGTTTATTCAACGAGAAGATAATTCTTAATCATATTCTCTCTTATCTCACATGAAAGGCGTAATTTTCAGCTTCCTATTTTCAGCTTCCTATTCTGGCAAGCAGCCAGCTTAAGTTACGCTAATCACTCCGATTGGTCATGTTTCGGTGAAATTAATGTATTTTTAAGGATTTATGTGTACCAAGGAACGGTAATTCTATGTACATTCGAGAGTATTTCTGTATTTAGGTAAATCTTATTGATTGTTCTCTGCATTTACATTCCTTATATATAACAACTTGACAATTAAGCTTTGAAATATGGATAGGTGGTACCTACTACCTGTAAACCTAACTGTAAACCCTGCTCCAGCTGATTAACATATCCCGGTTTGATGCATGAAGATATTTCTATGTTATGGTTATGTAGCCGATCCTCTTAAACGTTTTAATTTCACTGAAACTGCTGTTTGCCATTTGCATTCTGCGATGTACAAATCATAGAAAATCGTGGAAGGATCTTCCTATAAGCTTATTACTAGCAAAATATTTGTGTGAAAAGCTTTATTAATTTCGCGCGACTATAAGACGCGCAGTACGTACGTACAATATAATATCAATGATTGGTGACTATTTAAAATTGTAAATGTGTGCGTGGTGATTCACCATCACTAAACTTTATTAAACCTAGTATAATTGTTGATAGAGTGGCACTGAAAAAATGGTATTTGATAGTTAAAATAGAGTTCAATACAACAAAAGTCCTTTGATCTGTAAACTGAAAAAGTTCTATAAATGCTAACATGGATACCTCTCGTTTAGTGAATAGAAGCAAGATAAGAAGGCGATCCCGATTATTTCCAGTCGGGAATTCCCGAAACTTGAGAATGAGTGCCATTTGCTGTCGGGATTCCCGAATTCTGAAATCCCGGGATTGAATATTTTGATCGGGATTGACAATTGACTTAGCTTTAATTGACGATGTCAATTCATCGAAGCTCGGCGAGGCACAGTAGCGCATTTCGCCGATCTAGCGGCGTTGCATAATTTAGTGCGCGGCACATTCACATAGCCATGTGTATACGCGTATTTGTCATACGTTGTATGACCCGCCGCGCACGAGTGCGCGGCTCCCCCTGTATCGTCGAAACACTACACACTATAGTGAAGCGATTCACCTAACCATGTGCTTTCGCGCCACTTCGGGCGCGCTTGTTTCACAAGTCAAGAAAAGCACCTATCCACGAACCCCGATGGGAAGGTTCGTGCGCGCGTGCGCAGTGCTGACAACAGCGTCTATGTAGCGCAGGTAGTCCTGGCACTTCTCCCTCCAGTATGCAGTAACCACTTTTCAGGTTTCTATAGTGCATAGTGACCGTGTATAGGGGTTAATTAGGTATAAACTACAATACAGCTGTACTTACACCTACATTCACAAGCATGCAAGCTCACTTGGTCCAATCAGCGGGAAACGGAGGCCAAGGTCTGTTGACGTCATAGTCACGTGACCTCATAGGCTCATAATCACGTGACCTCAGACCCAATCAATGATCAATTAGGTTCGGGCATGGTCAGCTCCCTGTCACCCGATCTGGAGGTGACGTACGACACCTCGTTTACGCAATCAATGTCTGAAAGGCTACACACGTTGCATATGAGGACAAAAGCGCGGGAAATTTTGGCACCACTGTACAGTGGTGCCAAAATCGTTGGGTGGGTTCATGGCTAGAGCCCTTTTTACCGCCGTGAGGCGGGCGCGCGCTACTGCAAGCGCAAGGGCTCTGGATAGAGCAAGTGAAGCGACGGTGGGGGTCACCACGTGATACAAACGCGTACTGCGTGACGCGCTTGTTTCACGGTCGCGCGCTACTGCAAGTGAGAGGGCTCTGGTTAGAGCAACGCGGCACAATAACGCATCGCGCTACAAACTTCACATAGCCATGTGCCTACGCGTACTGCGTGACGCGCTACTGCAAGCGAGAGGGCTCTGGTTAGAGCAACTACAAACTTAACTTCACTACTCCCTTTGTTTCAAAATTATTCCACTGCCTCATATATGCTCATAAACATTAAACGTCGGTTCAGGTATTTGCCTTTTACTGGCATTTCATTTACATAATCTAACCATGTACTATACTTTCGCGCCGCTACTGCAAAGGTAAATTGGTAAAGCAAAGCGTGTCACGTGAAATATAAAATTAAACATGAACAGTTATGTGCTCATTAGAGTCTTAGCTTCTTTTTATATTTATAGGTTAATTAACGATGTCTACTCTTCCAGATCGTTGCGTTGTAAAGGAACAATCTAGTCAGCTTCGATTCGAAGCAAAAATGCTAGTTTGCGCGGCGCGTCAAAGCGGCGAAGTCCTCCAACTTTTAACGCGCGCGCGCCTCGTGTCAATAACATTTTTCTCTGAATGTTATAGTTTCAGGATTTTCACAACAAATGAATTTGTACATACTATTGACTATCGCATAATATGATGTAACAGTTTTAATAAATAATATATAATATAATACACGTTAAAAAGTTATGTGTCTAGTATTTGTATTGTGTTTTTTATTATTAAGTTCGATTGAAATATTTGCTCAAAACACTACTACATGTTGTAAAACAAATATTTACAAAACAAAACGACGGGCACACAGAAAAGAGAAGGACGATTGAAGTTAATGGTTATCTGATTATTAAGTAAAGTAAAGTATTAGAATCCAGGTTGTGTATATAAGGTTGCTCTATCCAGAGCCCTTGCGCTTGCAGTAGCGCGCGCCCGCCTCACGGCTTGTGAAACAAGCGCGCCCGCAGTGGCGCGAAAGCACATGGTTAGGTGAATATATAGGGTATAAAATGAATGAAAGGCATTAGTTTGGTCAAATCAAACGGAACATATGCTATCAGACTTTCAACTGACTAAGGCAGGGTTAAAACAGTTTTAACGCTAGCAAACATTTGATTTTTGTTTCGGCGACTGAATCGTTGATGGGCCGGCAAATATTTGTTGTCGAGTAGTGTTGAATATTCATATTAACATGATTATTGATTTAATTTAGGAATTGTATATAAATATCTTTGACCAAGTTTAATTGTTAATGAGAATGCACCCCAGCACTGGGCGCGCGCGGCGGCTTTGATGTTAGCGGCTACAAGCTTGAAGCTAGGCAGCTGCAGAAAAATACCGCGCGCGTTCAGCGTAGGGCTTTTCGTTTTTGATTTTACAAATGACAAAGCAACTTTTAATGATTATTAATGGAATTATCGGATATTTATAATTCAATATGTATTGATTCTTCTGTGGAAAATAAAAATTGTATTTTACTTTTAAAAAAACGATCCCCTTTTACATAGTTCCACTAAAATGATAATTTAAGATTAAATATGTATACTGTGTAGTGATAGGTAAATGACAAGATTGTAAAGGTTGTGTAATTTATTTTGAAAACTGGCCACGGGCCTAAATATTACATATCAATCAATTACAACTCATTAACATTACCAATATTAAAAACTGTCCAAAATATCTAAGAAAGTATTCTCTAGCCAAAGGGCTCAATATCTAAATCTAAATTTTCAATATTGTCTGGTTTATATCGCAACTTGGGCCCTCTGTCCCCCCTTATCGAAATAACTGTTGTCTTTAATACCTCAAAGTTGTGTAAAATACAGTGCTATGTACTGGGCCGGACTGAGAGCAGCTGAACTCATCTCTTATCACCCAATCTAAATATAAATACCTTAATAGCTCAACCTTAATATAGGGATGTAATGTAATGAGTTAGTACCCATCCACAAAACTAAATAAAGAAATGATGCAAGTGGATAAGGAAGAAGAAAAGAAGCAGAGACGGAGGGAAAAGGATAAAGAAAGGAAACAGAAGAAGCTAGCTAGTGAAACACCAGAGGAGAGATCCAGCAGGCTGAAAGACATGGCAGAACGTGAGAGGGCGAGAAGAGCCTGCGAAACACCTGAGGAGAGGGTCAAGAGACTAAGAGCCTTGTCGAAACAAGCGAGGGCGAGAAGAGATGGTGAAACACCTGAGGAGAGAGCCAAGAGACTAAGAGCCTTGTCAGAAAGAGGGAGAGTTAGAAGAGCTGGTGAAACACCTGAGGATAGGGCCAGAAGACTAAGAGCCTTGTCAGAACGAGGGAGAGTTAGAAGAGCTGGTGAAACACCTGAGGATAGGGCCAGAAGACTAAAAGCCTTGTCAGAACGAGGTAGAGTTAGAAGAGCTGGTGAAACACCTGAGGAGAGGGCCAGAAGATTAAGAAACAATTCAGAACACAAACAAGAGAGGGAAACACCTGAGGAAATCAACAGATTAAAGGACAAGTCAAAACGAAGGAGAAGGAAACTAGATGGCAAAACATCAGAGGAGAGAGTCAGCAGACTAAGAGACAATTCAGAACGAATGAGGATCAGAAAAGCTGGGTTGACACCAGAGCAGCTACTTTCCAGATTAAAACAACAAAGAGATCATAAACGACAGAAATTAGCCCAAGAGTCTTCTGAAGATCGAGCAGTGAGACTTCTCTATCACTCGGATCGCTATCTGAAGCTCCATCCGGTGTCCCTACCTACTATGTTACCGTCCATAGGACAGACGTACTATACCAGTCATAGTAAATCTAAATCGAATTACTGATTCTGTGTAAAGAAGAAGAAAGTTAAATTAAATCTCGTTAACATCTCTTGTAATGAAAGTCTTTGAAAGGTGTATAAAGACTGCATTATACGCTGCGTGTTCTGATCTGTTGGATGACCGACAACACGGTTTTGTTAATGAACGTTCATGCACAACCCAAATGATACCTTTCACGGACAATCTTGCACTTGCATTGAATAACAGGTCCAGGACTGATATAATATATTTTGATTTTGCGAAAGCCTTTGATAGCATTTCGCATGACCTCATTTTAAGTAAATTAAAGAATATTTTTAATGTCGATGGACTAATGCTTAAATTTATTAAGTCCTATCTTGAGGGGCGACAACAACAAGTAGTGATAGGAGGCCAAACGTCTTCTTCTCTACCAGTTCGGTCTGGTGTCCCTCAAGGTTCTATACTTGGCCCTTTATTGTTTGTAATATTTATAAATGACATGTTCTCCTGTGTCTCTGAAGGCACCAATATCGCCCTTTATGCAGATGACACTAAAATTTGGAGGGAGATTCTTGGTTACCCTGACCATCACATAATCCAAAATGACATCAATAGATTATATGATTGGTCAGTGAGAAATCGAATGAAGTTCCACCCACAAAAGTGCAAAGCCCTCTCTGTGTCCCTGCAAAGAAACGTGCTGGATAACTTGCCATTCAATACCTTCTTTTATAAACTTTCTGGAAGTGATATTGACTTTGTGCCCTCTCAGTCAGATTTAGGAGTCGCAATAAACTCCAGGTTTAATTGGGGTGCACAATGTAAAGCGCTTGTTTCCAAAGCTACATCTAGACTTGGACTACTTAAGAGAACATGTCATTTCACTACTGATAAAAGGCAGAAAAGATCGTTCTATTTAGCGTTAATTAGGTCTATATTTGAACATTGTTCTGTCATATGGTCCCCTCAATCTGCAACTCATCTTCAACAGTTTGTTGCTATCCAAAAGAGGGCTATTAAATGGATCAATGGTGAACCTTACTCCAGTTATAATGACGATAAACTTGCTACAGAGCAAAAGAAACTAAATATTCTCCCTGTTAAACAGAAGTTTATTTATAACGATCTTATGACCTTCTATAAAATAGTGAATAGCATAATTCCAGTTTCGCTCCCTACATATATAGTCCTATGCCGTCCAGAGGGCACCCGATACACTAGGCACAATGCTCAAATAATTGATATGTCGGATACTTCAACTTACATGAGTACCACTGTGCCCTGCTCGGATGCCTTCCGAAATAGCTTTTTTCATAGATCTATGCTGAAATGGAATAGTCTACCAGTATGTATCCGGCAGTCAGAGCGGATTTCTACTTTTAAGGCCAAACTGATCAAGTACCTCTGGGCTGCCGATACAGTCTGGCCAGATTAGCTCATCAGTCTTATGAGTCTCAGAAATTTGTTTTTGTTGGTTCTTATGGTTGGTGGGCTAGACAGTGAAACACGCAAATGTAGTGTATACTTCGTTAAATTACATCATTAGCTACAAAGGAATTAAGTTGGTTAGTTTTATTAGTACTATATGTACGAAGATCTAAAATGCCTCAAACAATCGAGAATCAAATAACCTAAATAAAATACACAAGGTGAATGAAGATGAACTACACAAAAATATAGCTTCAAAAATGAAGCTTCAAAAAAGAAGAAATAAAAACTAAGAACCTTATCTTTCAACTTTGCATCTATTTAAACCCAAGCAATTAGTTCTATACTTCTCAATATACCTAAATTCCTCCCTATTTAATCCCCTGGGGTTACATTCTTTCAAAATGGCAAATTTATAGTTGTCAATAGTAAAAATGTCACTGTGTTGTTCATAGGCATGAATCGAAAGGGCTGATTTATTACGATCCTCTACTTTAAAACAGGCTCTGTGTCCATTGACACGTTTATGAAAGTTTTGCATTGTTTGCCCGAAATAAGTGTCTTCTACAACTATCTCATAACCTTCTTCCTTTATAAGATTACAAAGCTTACATTGGGCCACATAAATAACATTTTTAGATTTACAATTATATCTGATAGGAACTACTAGCTTCTGTCCATTAACTACAAATTCTTCCCCTGCCCTACACATATGCCTGCATGTTCGGCATCTTGGTGCATTGCATTTCTGCGTCCACTCTGAATTATTTTCTGCCGGTGTTCTGCAGATAGCACTGTTTCTCAGTACTCTGTTACCAATCGAGCAGCCTTTCTTCGATGCCACCGTGATTTGTGTTGGGCCTAATAGTGCTTCAATGTCCGGTTCCAACTCCTTTAAGACTGATTTAAGTTGGGGCATCTCCGAGAGGTGTTGGACTGAAAACACCATGGAAGTTTTTTGGGGAACATGAACACTTCCTTCTGTGTTGGGTGGAGGATTGAACAGCTTCTCCAACACTTTTGGCTCTAAGGCGTTCAGTTTCGCTGAGTCGTGTCCACTACGACGCAAATCCGATTTCAATTGCTGTAGGTCCGCCTGCCGTGTATCCTCTCTTGAGTTCCTGTTAGCAATCCGAAGCATTTGGGAGAAGGCTACGGAGTTAAACACGTGTTTTGGGTGGAAACTGTCAGTACGGAGAAAATTCCTGGCATCTGTCGGTTTGGTGTAGAGCTTATATTGGATCTTGTTGGTTGTGTCCAAATACAAGGTTATGTCCAGGAAATTCACCTCCTTCCCCAATTCCCAGCTGCCAAACCTTATCCCGTATTCCGCTGCCAGTTGGTTCAGTTTCTGTACAAAAGAATCAAACTGCCTTGCCGTACCCTTCCAGATTATGAAGCAGTCATCGATGTAGCGTAAAAACAGTTCAATGAGACTATCCCAAGGGAGATCATTCCTAAGTTTTTTATGCATAAGCCAGTGCAGAAATAGATCAGCGATCTGCCTTGAATCGCATCCCCCTGTTGGGATCCCTTTCTCCGACTTATAACAATTGTCTCGGAACGTAACACAAGAGTGGTTAAAGGAGAGTTTGGTGAAATTCAGCAAAGCGTCCTTAGTCCTTTCAGATGTGGTTCGATCCGATTCAAAAGCGTCCGCCATGGCCTCTAGTGCTAAACGTGGGTTAATGGAGGGGTACAGGGCTTCCACGTCCAGGGTGGCTAGTAGGGTGTTTCCTCTTGGTGGGGATGAGTTGTGTTGCTCGATTCTCCTCATAAGATGGGGAGTGTCAAGCAGGAATTCATCTCCACAGTAGTCCTGGCTGATTTTTGTCAGGTGTGGGCTTGACCATTGCCCTAGTCTATAGAGGGGACCATGCTTTGCTGCATTGATGAATCTTTGTGGTGGTACAACCTTGTTCCTGATTTGTTCTTCTGATTTGTTTTGTTGGTTACAATTCTGTCCGTCCAATTTCCTATCTGCTTGTCCTTTTCTTTTTTCTTTATCAGTTGTGACGGAATTGTAATGAACAAAATCCTTATAATTATTTATGATATGTTTGATTTCTTGTTAATGTTTGTCATTCAAATTTGGTAGACGGCCCCAACGTTAATGTGGCTCTTGCTATGTGTTGGTTCAGCCGAATTAATTATTATATAATCAAGTTTATTTTTCTCGTTAGTTGTCATCCGGCCAAACATTAAGCAACTTATATTGCAGTACCATTTATCATTTAGTAATCAAAATATGTCATTGTAATTTTGCATGGCTGAAATGTAACGCTTGATTTATATATATAATGATTAATTGAATTTTCAAATAAAAAAAATTATCATTACATTCATTATCTTTACGTCATGTTGACTTAGAGTAAATGCATGATTATTGATTATCTTAGTATTAATTGAAATTTGTTTAACATTCCAGATCACAGCAAGTTGTTGGTTTAATAGCTTAATCAACTTCAATTTCTCAAAGTTTCCGATTTTTGAGGTTTTGTTTTATATATTATCACAATTTAAATTTTATTGTTTATTTTTATTTTCACATTTTATTGTTTATTTTGAAGGGATCATAATATTTTGCGACCATAGCTTGACACATTATGATGTGTGAATTAATTTCAGGATTACCACTATCAGTATTGTGAACTATTTCATGAAATTTGATTTAACATGTCCACCAAGTTACCTAATATTATAACAAATAAACCTGAAGGAGCATCAACCAGACACGAATCACTAGTGGGGTCAGTTGCATTTGTATACTGACTCAGTAGCAGCATGTCATGTGTACTGCTCCCTAGCACTATAAGTGTCATAATGGCTTGTTTGTTGTTATACACAGCAAGGTGAGGGTGGGGCTGCTTGGGGAAATTTAATCAAACTTACACAATGGTTAAGATCATGATGCCCATTAGTAAGAGTACATTTATAACCTTATAAATTAAATCTGAGATCTCCATCAATCCCAGGCTGAACAAAACTCTATGTACAATGTACACTGTACATTGTACAGTGTACATTGTACATTGTACAACCTTACCTGCTCGGGAATTGGGGACCATGACAATTGTGAATACACTTGTATGTGTCATGTCAAAATATCTGACAACTGACACAATATTGCTGCTCAAATGTCAATGTTTGTTATCTACAAAGTAATTTGATATCCAAAAAGCCTTAAAATCTCAAGATATAAGTGGCATAATTTTATTAAACCTTGTAATCATCGCCATTCATTATATACGTTGCGTTATTTTCCCTTGTACGAAATAAACTTGCTTTCCTCAAGAAAACCCTCATCAAAATTCTATTAATAGCTCAGTTTAATGATATTTGAAGAGTGAAAGTGGGAGTAACGAACTAAAGGAGGCTGCAGAAGTAGGAATTCTGTTGCAGCTATGGATTGGTTTGGTATCGGGTAAGTTTGTTATGTTCATTTACAGTAGCGTGTTAAATAACATTATTTATGAAGGAGCGTGTTAATGCTATTTAACACCAATTTTAACATGTAGTAAGTTGTTGTTTATGGATACTGAGTTAAACATAGTGTATGTTGAATTGTAAACATTTTACACAAGTATAAATTTAGATTCTGTTTGTTCTCAGTC